ACTGCAATATTATCAGATTCAGTAATTCAAGCCCTAGTTGCTGCTAGTCTCACATTTGTACAAAACGAATAAAAAGATATGGAAAAATAACAATCTTTCTCATTTATGCATTATCTTAGATTATTCAATTTTAGTATTTTTTGTTTGTTCATAGAGTGAATAATTAATGAAATTAATTACATATTTTCAACAAATTCTACCAAAGCTCGATTGAAATCTGCAAAAGATCTTTAAAAATGCACTAATTTCTGTTATCATTTGGAATTAACAGCCTCACAAAATTTATACAAAAATTGATTATTCTGCCACTTAATATTCATAGTGATATTGAAAGAGCTCATTGAAATTTTATACGTAGCATAAAATAAAACAATGAATAATTGTAGCACATAACTAGAATACAAAAAGGCAGAGAAGTAGAATGGCCCATCAAACGACTCAAATCCAGTATTTACTTCTCTTCGCATCGCTTAATGCTATGCCCAAATTTCTTACATGTAAGTAGTTCTTTTATATGAATATTTCTTGAGGTACTCTGCACGAATTAAGATCAAGCAAGTACAAGTTTATGCACTTACCCAATATAAAATGTATGTCACTTTTCACAGTCACTTTTATCCTTGTCATCTGCTTCTTTTTTCAAGTACACCAAACATGGAAACACGCACATTGATCCTTGTCTTGAACCAATAAATTATATTCAAAGTCTATTCCATTTTGTGATAATTGAAAGAGTTGTTTGTTATTACCAATTGAGCTATTTTCTGAACTTCTTCAAATACCTGTACATTGCTGATTAGATCAGAATATTCGGTAGTTTGTATTCATCGTACAACAGTTAACAGCGTAGTGTATTGCAGTTTATAAGGAAAGAAAACTCCAATTAACAATGAAGTAGCTGTGATCCATATTGCATTGAAACAAATGGTTTACAGAAGGACTTAGGACTTTCACTTCTGTATCGGATGATCGTTTGATAAGTATGTTCATGTTTTATATCCAATATTAGTGGTCATACCTGGCTGACCACTGCCACATAACAGAAAAGTAATGTGGATTATCCCAGTCAAAATTCTCCTTAGAGTGCATTGAGCGGCAATAATACTGGCTGTTTGGCCAGAAGTTAGGTGGGGCTAGGAAGCACCAAGCGAACCTGATCCTGGGCTTGGACTATTCTGTACAACAGGTATTTGATTATAAGGATGATTGCTATTGCACAAGACTGTATAAATGTTCTCCACATTACTAAGTTTTTCAAAAAATGGAATTAAATCTAATAGTTCTGAATCTGTCATATCGTCGAACCATGATGCCACTGGTACCTAAAAATAGATTTATTTTAAAATGTGCATAGTTTTTCGCAAATTTATATTTAATTTTTATTCTATGAGCCTTACTGCATTATCTGGATGGAAAATGTAACTGGCAGGGCTGTTATCAACAATAATAATTTGTTGTAAATCCCGTCCTAGTTTATTTAAATCTTTAACATAATTTCCTCTGTGAAAAACACAAGATTCTCTAAACAGTCTTGCTCTGAACACTCCCCATCTGTCAAGCAGATCTGCTACCGGATCAGCATACTGCAAGTATTATAATTTTTTAATATACAGAAATGTTACCTTGTATATATAACATCATAAATAGTAGTACTTGTACAACATACCTTAGCTAAACTTGCTGTGAACAATACACATTCGTACAGTTCACCCATTCTTTGCAAGAATTCATCCACATAAGGCCTCTTTAAAACATATACTTGATGCACTGTCCCATCAATTTCTACAGGAACAACAAAATCTGCATTGTTGATTGGTTTGAAAGAACTATGTACTAGCGTCTCATCCAAATCAATCACCATGCACTTCTTGTGCATATCCTGATGTCTGACAGGTGGGAGAAGAAACCGTTGAGATCCAGTCCTTGGTGGCGGTGAGTAACCATGGTCCTCCCATTGTACAGAACTTGTTTTTGAACTCTTTGAACTACTTCCTCGTCCTCTACCGAGGCAACAAAGTAGAGATCGTAGAAGTCCACGCCCTCTTGGCTTTTTGCCACTGGCTGGACCGTTGCTGGCCACTTCATTCTCTCGCGGTAACTGGGCTATTTGAAGGAAAAACAAATGTCATTCCATGAGTATATATAAATGCATATATATACATATATATTTATTTTAATATATAATATTAATACGTATGAACAGACATACAAATGTTTATAAGAGAACTATTTGTTTTTTTTTCATTCAAAATGCAGACAAGAGAAAATAAGCTAAGTTTGTAATACTATCTTTGATAATCTCTCACATTGGCGAAATATTCTAGTCGTATAATTTCATTCAAATATTAAAGAAAACATGTTGACAGTCCCAAATAACTGAAAGAAAACATTCATCCTTTTATCTTGTCATTACGTTTAAAAATATTGACTATTTCTCGTACGATAAAAAGTAGGTGCAAATGAATTAAAGCATCGGTAAGGTAATGGTAGAACACAATGAAATAAGTTAGACACCGAAACTTAGGTGAAAGAAAAGAGGAGGGAGAGGGATAGACACGATTTGACGAGGCAAGTCGAAACGAGGCGAGGCGAGGCCAGGCAAAAACGAGGACGAGAGGAAAAGAGACGTCGGAATTGAAGCATAGGCGACCAGAAGGGAGAGAGGCCGAGAGAGGTATAGTTGGGTGAGGTAAGGTGAGGAGTGTGGTGCAGTTCCCGTAACAGGTGTAGATTCCATCCAGCATCTGGAAGAAAAACGTAAGGGAAAAAACTGTAAAGCGGCAAGCCGTGTTTACGGCGGGCACCTACCTTTCTCATTGTTAAACTGGCCTAGCTCGTCATCCCGCGACACTTGGGTGATAATGGACGATGCGTCCATTTAAACATTTGTTGAGAGTCCCTGCGTGTCTGATCGTGAATTCCGTTAATGCGCGCGCGCCAGAATACACATACACATATACACCACACACGCGCGCACGATACCGAGAATGAGAGAGCGTATACGCGCGGTAGCACGCACACGCACCTACTCACTCAGTCACGACGTATAAAATCTCTCCCTCCAACGTTGTCGCAGCTGCAGCCACCGCCGCCGCCGCCACCACCACCACCGCCACCACCTCCTCCTCCACCACCGTTTTCTCTACTGCCGCCACCGCTGCTGCCACCGCCGCCACCACCTTCACTGTCTTCTCCGCCGCCGTCACCACTGCGAAGATCACCACAACTCGGCGAACGGAGACGCATAGGCGTATCCAACACCAATAATATTTACCTCAACAAGAAACTCGCACAAGAAATATTGTATCTTTAGATTTTAGAAGAGGCGTAATCCGATCATATTACACGCACCATCAATCTAGCAGTGTCAGGGCCACACTCGACACCTTGCTTCTACAATTATCCGTTCCGTTTTTATAGAAATATAATCGAGGAGAGTTAATCCAATTCCTTGTTGCCTTCATTCCAGGGGAGCACTTGCCATGTACCTACGTATCACAGATCTATACGTGCGTACACGCTCTCTCTTTTGCGCGCCACACCTATGTCGTTAAACAGTATATCACGGTTCGACGTTTCTTCGTTCGTGTTCCGGGGCTTCTTATTTGTTCATCGAGATCCGAAAATGATGTCCTTTCACGCGTTTCGCACTTTTAAATCTCTCGACGATCGGGTTCGATATTATTGTTTGAACAGAGCCGATGCGCGTACTTGCTACGGACCCGAGCCAATAATGTAAACGATTTCGGAAATTGTTTCGTAACAATTGAATGGTTGCACATACGACCGCACGTGACTGGCAAACGTTGTACGTTTATCACAATGTACTCGGTGTAGCTAGAATTTGTCTACATTCTGTCCACAAACAACGTCCGCGTACCTGTGTTAGACAGGTTTTTGATTATTGCACAGGGGTCTGCTGCTGGCTTTTGCACTCTACGCGATTCGAATGCCCTCTGGCGGTCTTTCGTCAAACTGCGATTGTGACCGTTGCGCAGCGTTCAAACTAAAAAATTAGAGCCATAAAAGCAGAACGAAACATGTGTAGTGTTCGCTCTTTTCCTTTTGCGGTACGGATCAAGTGTATTGACAGAGAGACTGGTCATGGAAAAGCAGATATTTTACTTTTAGCCAGACTACATTATTGACATTATAAGGAAATTTTTTTATTTACATGCTAATCAAAAATATATTTGTTTTCACATTAATGCTATTATGTCGTAATACAAACGGCAAATTGTATAAATATTTAACTAATATTTAACTAATTGTAATTCATTCGTATATAATTAATAATAATTAACAAATTTATGAATTAAGAAAAATTGATTAAAATGATGTGTCAATGATATCGAATGTATGTTATAATTGTTATGCCGTTCAAATATTATGTTTTACCTCTTTCTTAATCACTGAAAATTTTAATGTAAATTGTGTCTTTGATTTCTATTCGAAGTAATATTTATAACATTTTAATTACATTTGTATTTTAAATAAGGGTAAGAAGGAATTTAATATTGTATATATAACTAACAACCATATCACTATAGTTGAGTGTTTTTACTATCATATTTTACTCATAATATAGTATGTATAACACAATATTTATTCTTATACCTTAACATATATTATGATATTAAATAATGCATTCAAAAGATAAGTTTAAGTAAGTTCAGTCACTATAAATTGAGCATAAATATTTAAAAGGAATGCTTAATAATTAATATTATTATATGTCTGCATTATCTGCATGTTATATAATCATCCGAGATGTTAATCGTAAATCATTTCTAGAAGGATCTAACGTATTCGCGTATTAATGTTCTAAAATGGAAGACCAAGGTAATTTGTGCCCAGATAATATTTTACCTTAAATAAAACGTGACATTATTTTATTTTTGTTCTTTGTTACGTATCACAAATGTATAGAGTATTGACATAAATTTTTATCATTTTATTTTAATATATATTCTCTCTCTCTGACAATCTCTCTTGTGTGCGATTTGCACAGGTTCTTGTAATTGTCTTTGTTTCCTGTGGACGATACCCCCCTCCCACAGTGAGTCCAAAAACTGTGGGGTTTTATGGAGAACGAGAGATTTCGAACGAGTGAGACTCGAATCTATGATCTTCAAAGTTTCATAGATTGGCCAGCTGCATTTTAACTATTATTACCACGAAACCTTCCGAAACTCATATATAGGGTGTTTGATTACGCGAAATAGATACTTCAGGATGTGGTTAAAATAAGCCGAAAATCAAAAGTGCTGAAATTGCAGTTTTGGCTTCGTTTTCAAGTTATTGATAATTAGAAACGAAGCGACAGTATCGCAATTACGTCACTTTTGATTTGTTGAATTATCACTAAAATATCCATTGCACATCTTTGAACACCGTATATATTGTCTATTAATTAATTTTTTTTATTAAAATCTACTTCAATTGCGAATCACTTCTTGCTTATCATACATTCCATTCACTCGACTTTTACAGTTTTTACATATATGATAATACTATGAATTACAGATCAAATAATTCGCGAACATAACTNACTCTACGCGATTCGAATGCCCTCTGGCGGTCTTTCGTCAAACTGCGATTGTGACCGTTGCGCAGCGTTCAAACTAAAAAATTAGAGCCATAAAAGCAGAACGAAACATGTGTAGTGTTCGCTCTTTTCCTTTTGCGGTACGGATCAAGTGTATTGACAGAGAGACTGGTCATGGAAAAGCAGATATTTTACTTTTAGCCAGACTACATTATTGACATTATAAGGAAATTTTTTTATTTACATGCTAATCAAAAATATATTTGTTTTCACATTAATGCTATTATGTCGTAATACAAACGGCAAATTGTATAAATATTTAACTAATATTTAACTAATTGTAATTCATTCGTATATAATTAATAATAATTAACAAATTTATGAATTAAGAAAAATTGATTAAAATGATGTGTCAATGATATCGAATGTATGTTATAATTGTTATGCCGTTCAAATATTATGTTTTACCTCTTTCTTAATCACTGAAAATTTTAATGTAAATTGTGTCTTTGATTTCTATTCGAAGTAATATTAATAACATTTTAATTGCATTTGTATTTTAAATAAGGGTAAGAAGGAATTTAATATTGTATATATAACTAACAACCATATCACTATAGTTGAGTGTTTTTACTATCATATTTTACTCATAATATAGTATGTATAACACAATATTTATTCTTATACCTTAACATATATTATGATATTAAATAATGCATTCAAAAGATAAGTTTAAGTAAGTTCAGTCACTATAAATTGAGCATAAATATTTAAAAGGAATGCTTAATAATTAATATTATTATATGTCTGCATTATCTGCATGTTATATAATCATCCGAGATGTTAATCGTAAATCATTTCTAGAAGGATCTAACGTATTCGCGTATTAATGTTCTAAAATGGAAGACCAAGGTAATTTGTGCCCAGATAATATTTTACCTTAAATAAAACGTGACATTATTTTATTTTTGTTCTTTGTTACGTATCACAAATGTATAGAGTATTGACATAAATTTTTATCATTTTATTTTAATATATATTCTCTCTCTCTGACAATCTCTCTTGTGTGCGATTTGCACAGGTTCTTGTAATTGTCTTTGTTTCCTGTGGACGATACCCCCCTCCCACAGTGAGTCCAAAAACTGTGGGGTTTTATGGAGAACGAGAGATTTCGAACGAGTGAGACTCGAATCTATGATCTTCAAAGTTTCATAGATTGGCCAGCTGCATTTTAACTATTATTACCACGAAACCTTCCGAAACTCATATATAGGGTGTTTGATTACGCGAAATAGATACTTCAGGATGTGGTTAAAATAAGCCGAAAATCAAAAGTGCTGAAATTGCAGTTTTGGCTTCGTTTTCAAGTTATTGATAATTAGAAACGAAGCGACAGTATCGCAATTACGTCACTTTTGATTTGTTGAATTATCACTAAAATATCCATTGCACATCTTTGAACACCGTATATATTGTCTATTAATTAATTTTTTTTATTAAAATCTACTTCAATTGCGAATCACTTCTTGCTTATCATACATTCCATTCACTCGACTTTTACAGTTTTTACATATATGATAATACTATGAATTACAGATCAAATAATTCGCGAACATAACTGCATTTATGTATATATAACATTTAGATATTACTCCTCAATAATTATGATAAAAAAAGCATATAAAAAGGTTAATATTTTCCGATCTACATATTATTTCCTGCATAATTTGATATCTTGCGGCGAGGACACCAGATCGATCACTTTTTATTCCTTTCTGAACATTTACTTTAAGAGTATCTTTTTTATTGTTTCTAACTGCATCAAGCGATATTTTTTTCGAGGACGGACATTGTAATTAGAAATTTATCGCTTGCTTTTCATTATTATTGTTCGTCTCGACACTCTTCCACAAAATAAACCTGTTATAAAGATCAAACCAATCATCGTTAATGCCACAATCATAAAGTATCGTCTTGCAGGAGACCGATTTACGGTTGAATATAGTTCCTGTATCGAATTTGGACTAATTAACTGAAAATAAACAAATAATGGTTACTAGTTTAGTTCTTTAATATTTTGTAAACTAATTAGTTTAACCACTTGAAGTTTGTTTTACCTTCACTGCGTTTCTAAACATTTCTATTCTTGTGGTTAGCATTTTATAACAATCAGGTTGTAAAGATTTATTACTATCATCCATTACATTTTGAAGACACATGATATCTAACAAAAAATGGTAATATAATATAATATATTTAGTAAATCCTTTTAATTCATGATTTAACAGTAGCTTTATTATTTATTAATTATTCAACTTACGTTTCCCCCCTCCTTGAGGTATAGCGCTGCAGTATTTACTTACATCAATGGCACACGCTTTTTGTAACAAAGGATCTACATTAATATCCGCCCTTCTTTGTTCTATCAAAGCTGCAATTTCAAGGCGACATTCCTCTTTCATATCTCTATTACCGGAATTAAATTCTATTTTTAAACATTCTTCTACTGCACCAGGATCGTTTTCATCTGCTCTACATATCGTTTCAATCTATTGTAAATGAAAATTTATAATATAAATATATATAAAAGTACACCTTGAAAGTACCAGTTAAGAATTTTGTTGATAATACCTCGTGTGCACAAAGTGTTGCAAGTAACGGATTTAAGTGATAATTTAATGCTTCTTCCTTGAGAATGTTAGTTATTTGATGTTCACATCTCGTTTGAAGCTTTGCTTCTCGAAATTTAATTTTTAAACATCGAATTACCTTTCCTTCAAGTTCCTTATCAGTAGGTTCATGTAGTAAAACCTGAAGTATTTTATTGGACATATAAAATAAATTTACATTTAAAACAAAATGTGTTTAGCACTTGTGCATGAAATTTACCTCTTTGCAGTGTTTATTAATATCAGAGGAACATGATGCTTGTAAGGCAGTATTAAATCTATAATCGGTGTTTTGTTCAATCATTCGGCGGATGACAATATTTTTACACTTTCCATCAAAAGTAGGTTCATCTTTGTATCTTTTCAAACAATCCAATGCTTGCGAGCGACTTACATCGTGACAAAATTGTCTTACCATAACACGGCAGGTATTTAATAAAGCAAAATCACTTGAGCTGTCTTGAAATTCTTGTTTTCTTACTTTAAATATTTGCTTGTGGCATGCATCGGACAATTTCGATTTATGCGCTGCTAAACACTCAAGAATCTAAAAGGATTATAAATTTACTAATGCCAAAACTAAAAATAAGAAATTTTAAATACACTATTCCAATAAATTAAGTAAATAATTATGTTACCTGCGAATTGCCTGCTTCAACATTAAAACAATATTGTTTTACATCATCTGCACATTGTGCTTGCAAAATAGGATCAAAGTGAATGTTTTCTCTTTGCTGATACAATTGTGCTCTTAATTGTTGCCTACATTCTTTTGGTACGCGATGTTGTGTGTCTTTCATTATATCTTCTTGTACTGTTACACTTAAACACTCTATTACTTCTGCTTTAGTTTTAGATCTAAGCAAAATACGAAAAAATATTATATATCCATCTTCCTATTCTAAATTTTTAAAATTATATAAACTGTATTACATAAAATGTTGCTTACTTTGGACACCATCTTTTGACAGAAGGTCTACAGGCTTCTTTAAATTTATATGTAAAGTGATAATTTTTTAATGATATTAGTTGAAAATGTTCCACTGCTGCTTTACACTTATTATCAGATCGTATATCCAAATCATTTTTATGTTCTATCAAACATTCCATCATATCACCTTCATCTTTACCATATTTTAATACTTCCTGTTCATGAATTTTTTATTTGATTATTACCCAGAAGAAAGTCATACATATTATTATCCAGTATTTAATCAAAATTGTACCTCACAATGGCGTTCCATGATATGTTGACAAGCTGCAGAAATTACTGGATTCAATTCAACACGTTCAGCTTGTTCTTCTGTAAAATTGCCAACTGCCAATTTACAGTTTTTGCTTAAACTGAAAATAGAATAACAGATTAAAAGTTTAAAAATATTATTATAATTTATGCAAAGTATAAGTAGTGTAGGTATAACATTGTTACCTGTCTAAATAATCTTGAAGGCACGATATTTCTTCTCCCTTTGCAGTTCTATCATAACAAAATGTTGCTAATTCATTTAGACAAACTTCTTCAATCTCTGGTTGTAAGTCAACATTTACAGCTCTTTGTCTCATTACACGTCTAATTTCTTCAAGACACTCTGTTCGTAACTACGATAGTAAGCAGTTAATATTCTGATTCAAATTTTTAAATATATGTATATATAACTTACTGTCATATTTTTTTGAGGATGATATGCATGTCTGTATAAACATGGTAAAATAAGGGGACCCCTTTCTGGGTCCATTTGTCTTCCATCACTAGCCCATGCATTTCTTGCATGACATAATCTTGATGCATCAAATTTACAAGTTCTGTACAACTGTGGATCTAATTTAAAATCTCGAGCAATGAAATATTGTATTTGAACTAAAGCAGTTGCACAAGCTTCTGTCATTCTGTTTGTACCAAGTTGTTCCATGAGGCAAGATATTACTCTAGCATCACCTCCAGTTACCTACATTTAAACGAGGTTGCCAACATTATTTTTTCAATTTGATCAATATAATCAATAAATGTATCACATTAAGTGTAGAATCCTTACATCTCTGCAAGCTAAATTAACAACAGGTTGACATTGTTCTCGTAAGATGGGATCAATTCTCCAATCTTCTCCAGCATCTGCTTCCATAATTAAGTCTTCTAACTGTGGATAATAGGATTTAACAAATTACCATATATTTATACATTATTTCAGCAAGATCTGTATAAAAAAACTTCATTACCGCTTTTTGACATTTGTTAGACACCCTTGACTTCTTTCTTCTGGGTCTTGTATGTTCCATCAAACAATGAATTGTTGCACCACCAACTTCAACACCATTACAGAATGTTGTAATGTCAGAAGCACATCCATCAACTATTTCTGGGGACAACCTATAGTCCTCCATTAAAAGCTTTCTATGATCAAACATTTCAGCTTGGCAATTGCCATCAATCTTAGTACCATTTTTCACTACTGATTCTAAACAAAGTAGGATTTGGGCAAGCCTTATGTTTTTATCTTCAGAGGACCTCCTACAGTGATTACTTCGTATATCTTCTTTACACGCTTTGACTAATCCTTTACTGATTCGATAATCAGATGCTATCAATTTTCCTCTTCTTGCAAGTTGATCTTGACACATTCCTGTCATAGATCTATCTGTTTTATGTTGCATCAAACATTTATACACCTGACCACTACCCGATCTAATATTTGGGCAAAATTTGATACGATCTTGTTCACAAGCAATGTATAATTGTCGATCTAATTCTACATTTTCAGCTTGTATTTCAGACACATGGAGTATGTGTTGTTTACATTGAACCTCAAGATCATTGACATGTTCTTGCAAGCAAGCTAATACTTGTCCCTGGTATATATCTCTGGGTTGTATTTTCTCACAACCAAATTTTAAAATATCAATGCCACAATCGGTAGAAAACGGTGTTATAATTCTAAAGTCACTAAATGCAATCCATTCTAATCTTTGAATATATGCAATACAATCAGCATCCTTGACTTTCTCTCTTTTATCAATTAAACAAGACAAATATGTTCCATGCTTCTCGGATGTGGGGCAGTTCAAATGATCTAATTCCTTGCCACAGGTTTTCTTAGCTAATCGTTCTATGTTCAAATTACTAGTAACATTTAAGATATACTCCCAAATTGCTCGACGACATTCATCATCGATACTAGACACTTCGGTTGGCTAAAAAAGTAACAAAATTATGAGCAAATAAAAGCAAAATTAATAATCTTATCTTGCAATATTTTGAGATATATTTTTTATTATAAAATAGCATTTATAATATACAAGACAGATCAGAAAACATACCTTGAATCTTTGAATGCACTCTAACAAAGTCAATTCATCATTATTTATATTTATATCATTGCATAGCCGACTTAAGTTCTGTCGGCATTTAGGAGGTAAATAATTGAGCACACTTGCTCTCTTAACCCTACGGATACTATCAACAGGATCGCTAAATACCCAACTTATACTTGGTATAACATCACCGCTATTAGGGGGCACATTTTTAACGTAAGTTCTTGTTGACTGAGCACAATTTAGCACCGACAAGTGTATAAAAATCACAATTAGAATACTTTTTAAATTAGTCATATATTCCATCCTCGGTAAGTAGGACCACTTCTTTAATTCAAACTTATTATCCATAAACACATTACGATGTAACCACGTTCTTCCGTGATCTTCGTCTTTTTTACAGACCTTTTACAACTTTTGTTATTCACCGTATAATGTCAACGTCATGAATAGTGTACTTGTGTATAATCAGATAAAAGCGAACTTTGCGCGGACAGATTGTTGCATGTATGGATGCAGTGTACGTATTTCACCGCTATGAGTATGTATTCGATCGCTGCATATGTGTGCGATTTTCAATCTGTAAGGCAGATTTATAATTCACGTTCGTTCATCCAACAAATACATTCTGAATCCAGATTTTCTGTACATGAATTTCTAAAGTAGAATAATAAATTATAAGGCAAAAGCGCTATTTATTATCACGAAGTTGTAATTTCATGTTAAAACATAAAGATTACGATCGATAAAGAAAATAATACTTTGCGTAATGTTATAATAACGAAAACGACTTGCTTTTACTTAACCTTTGGTTCTATCCGCGTTGTCAACACATGCATGTGCGTACCATAAAAACAAGAAGTAGTCACATATGTATTGGATTTGCGACTAATTCGTCGTTCATCACGTAGTGAAAATGCTCCTTGCGGCGTCGACGGGTGCGCGACGTTGGCAGGCCTGCTAAATGGGTATGTATTTCTATCCCGTCGTCTGCATTAAAGGGCAAGTGACAGCTCAAGCTATATTGTTGACATTCGTATGAAAATTACGCTGCCGCGTCGTACTTACGGGAAAGTAATTTTCATAATAATATAGACTAAAGCATAAGTGAACGGTTTCGGTAACATAAACAGCCTAACCGAATGATTTCCGTGAATCGTAAACGTAAGAAGAAAATTCAGGATCAAAATGATAATCGGTGTTTGAGTGGAAGGTATAGCCACATCGAGTTTAATAGATTTTAAATACATAGCGATCACGCTTAAGCGGTGTCCAGAAACTGTACTAGTTTTCTGAAATCGATCATTATCGTTTACGGATTGCAACAATGATTGTTCACCGGATGTTTCTGTTCAAACACCGTCGTAAATGTACCCGACAGTAGTACACTCCAAACAGTAAACGATTAAAGTGCGTGTGCAAAAGTGAATCAATCCGTATGGTATTACGCGCAGTACTTATCGTGTCGCTTTCTAAAGAAAAACCGTCTATAACACTAATTTAACATCCTTTATTGTTACAATAGTCTCGGAATATCTTAAGATTCGCGCAGAATGTAAGTTCCATATTAAAAATTACTGTTTATTCTGTAAATATAATTCTGTCACTGGTTCTTCAAAATTTTCTTCTCTTCTTACGACTTATTTGTTACGTTATACCGGTTGTCAAAAATCTTACGCAATCCACGCTAATTTTGTGCTCGCCGATACGTCCACGTATAAAATGTTAACAAATTTTCCTAACAATATATTCGAATTCGTCGAACTCGTCCAAAGAAGCATCGTTCTCTTCCAATTTTCTCGTTACTCTCGAAGAATCGCGAATTAGAATATCAGCATATATCGTGTAGAAAATTCACGACTGTCCGATACCAATGATTATCGATACGAAAAATCATGTCGGTACTTTCCTCCGGCTTGAAGTTAACGGACAAAGTCGAAGTCTGTCCGATATTTCTTTCGCGCCATTAAAGTTGACATTTCAAGAAGTCACGCCATCTTCATGATTCTCGACGAAAAATGCTCTCAGTAAGCGATACGTCACGCGCATTTACTAGATCCCTGACATTTTCGGGTTTATTTATAACGTCGCTGCTAAGGGTGTCAAAAGCATTCCCATTGTGTTTCACGTGCGGTAGATGATAATAGGAGGGTGACAGAGAGAAAAGAGACCTGTCGTCGTCGGCGATCGTTCGCCGAGAGTACTTCCAAGATTCTATGCGACAGTGGTCCATCATCCATGACGTTCGACTGTGTTGCATCGAGAGACTGAACCTGATCGGCGGATTGATCGCGGTTGTGTATGCGCGATAAATAAGGACAGCCTGATCGATTCGAAATCGGCGACATTGTAACCGGAGCGACCGAACGGACCAGGGAAAAAGAGGTTTCGGTATGACCTGTGGCGGTGATAAGGACTCGTTGGAATCATCGGGCGGGGAGGAGGAGGCATGGAAGCTGAAGCTGGTCGGCAGTCTCACCATCAGGGGCTGCAGCTTACCCTGCCATCCCCGGGAATCCCCGGTCTGGACGTCGTGAGGGCCTTGCACCAGGTTTGACATTCGCATATCTATCGTAAATATATCATTTTTATTTCCTAACTCTTAACCTTTTTCTACAGAAAGCATGCGACGTATTGGTAATAATTATTGTCGTTTAACTCCGTCTACTGTTCGCTTTTACTTAAGAAAATTTTGCTGTTACACGGACAGATTTTTCTGTCAATTTAATAGTCGATCTAACTTCAATTAGCAGCAATTATAAATCATTTGTATGCTCGTAGAGATGTCTTTAATTTGTACCGTTCAATATTTTTCGACGGATTCTTGCTATAGTTTTAAGTCCAATCAAGTATGGTAGTAATTAATTATATATTAATAAATAATATATATATAATAATATAAATTAATTATAATTATTAAATAATAATATTTCTCTTTCAAATCATTTAATTTCGCTGAAGCGAACGATAGGCTATAGGTGTGCGATAGTCGCGCGTCTTAAAAACAACGAAAGCGACAGATGCCGAAATTTGTAAATAATGCATGTCGAATCGATGAATATTTTCTGTTGAAAATTAGTTAATAGTTAACACCGAGATATAATGAACGTATTTCGCGACACGTCCTCGAATGTTTCACGAAAGCACCGGGGGCGGAAGCTGCGAGAGATGATTCTGTTACGACAGCGTTTAGTCATCACGTGTTTTTGTTTACAGTTACCTTGTCGATCGTAATTCCTCGAGTATAACCGAGGTGTCAATATCATCATTTCGCTCTATTATCTCCTCGCGTGTTTTATATAAGATCGGACCGGCATCATCACGGTGTTTTGACGCGTTCTTTTTCAGACTGTGATATCGCTTCGCTCTGCTCTGGACTCCTCGCGGGAAGAGTTGCGTCGTCTTAAGGAGAGCGTCGGTGATTTTTCTGGCGAGAGCTACGTCGATGTCATTGAGAGGCTGGCTCTTGAGAATCACGTCCTTAGGCGAAAGATCCTAAGTAGGAACAGTGAGTTTTCTAGTGATGCTGCCACAAGCCCGCCGCCCCAGGCCCGTCCTTTACCACTCGCAGTAGAGGACAGTAAGCAGTGAGTTTCGAAGTACAACTCTCCAAGAAATTAGAGCGCCTTCTCTCGTCGATTTGTTCTTTATGCCGCGCCGTTCGAGCTGATCACTACAGTTGTTAATTTTTTTTTTTTAGATTTCTTACCTCCTCGAGATACTCTAACTATACCGTTCGCAAATACTGCTTTTTTTAAATGTAAAGCAAAGCTGTGCATGCAAAATTTTCAATTGCGAAGCCATCCAGGTTTGCCCGGTTTTCGAAAGATCAGCCTGTTCCGATGAAGTACGCTCGGCAGCTTCGAATGAAATATTACTCGCATTAAACGTCGCGATGTACAGACAGTTTCACGGCAAAGCTGCATAGCGTCGCGTTAATTAAAAGGAGCGTTCCTGACGCACCTATTAATAACCATAGCATGTGTAACACGCGGCTGCATTCTCGCTGTCATTCTCATCCTTCAAATGGTATTAGCCTGCCAGAGGAAACGGGCGTATCCATGGACTCGTTAAGAGACAAGGTTGTCAAGGAGGATCCGCCGGAGCCGTCGAGACGGGTCATCCAGAGCGGCAAAAGCGACGGGAACAACGGCGACGATTCTGCCGCGTCGTCGGCAATCAGGAGACCGTTCAAGGATCAGGAAGTATCCGGGGACTCGAAGTGCGCGATGTCAAAGGATAGCGCAGGAACGGTTCATCAAGTACAAACTCGACTGTCCGAGGCTTCTCCGACCGACAAACAATCCAAGGACACCGAGGATCAAGATACAACCGAGGCGCAAGCTGACCGTTTGGATGTGCCCGACAAGGATATGGAAGATCTCAGCTTGAAGTCGGTCTCCGACGGCGAAAACTCGGTGTTCAGCGACAATCCGGACACGCAGATGGCGCAGCAACATCAGCGACAGAACCAGACAGCCGATCAGCCGAAGGCCAACGATCAGTCGGAGAACGAGTCCGAGGAGCTGGACGACATCGAGCTAATATTCACGACCGACGACACTTGCCGCGATCTCGGTTTGCAAGAGGATCTTGTCTCGATCACGGAGACGGAGTCCTGGCAACAGCCCGCCGCCACAGGACAACCGGTCTTGCTGAAGTATACCAAGTCCGCCGAGGGCGAATCGTTGGTCTGTAACGGCGAGAAAACCAGCTCCGTCGAAGAAGCTGTCTCCTCGCAGAGCTCCAGCATCGACCGCGAGGAGAGCGTCGATAGATTCGACGAAAGCTCCAACACCAGATTGAACAAAATGTGGTCCCAGTGCTCGGTGCTGGTCGAGACTGACATCAGCAAGTGCGGTGTCGTCGAGGAGCCGGAACATCCTACCAGACACGCGGTCAGAAGGAACACGTTGGCCGCGCCTCCCACTGCTTACAGGTAACGATCAGTTCTTAGTGCTAGACGATAGACTCTTGGTATTGATTTTTCTTTTATGCACGCTGTACACGCGCTAGTTCCTATTGATGCTATTTCGAAGCAATTAACGCTCGAGATTTTACAACAAAAATAACACATACAATACTTATCGAGTAGCGAAGTTCGTGGTCATGTTCCAAGTCCAATGAGGAGACTTTACGGCTAGGGCAAGGTGTAGGAATATGGAAGAGGCGGACAGGTATCGGAGCGGAGAGGCGGAAAAGAAGCCTAAGTGCCAAGAACAGATAGGAATCTTGAAACATTCGATGGAAGACTGCAGTGGAACGGAAAGGATAAATATAAGCATAGAGAGGACGTTGCAAAACAGGAAGGAGCATTGATAGGATATGGACAGAGATAGGCGTGAAAGAAAGGGAAGCAACAGAAACCGAAGAATAAAGAGAGACCATAGCTGGTTCGGATTATAGACGCACAGTAGATAGATTGTAGATCGATGGCGATAAGGAGTTCAAATTATACGAAGCACTTTGCAACGATTTACACTCTGAGTTCTCGATGGTGAAGTATTTGCGATGACGCTGAAGAAGTCACAAAGTTCGTTGCCTAGTTTATAATTATAAATTCAGCGCGGAAAGTCTGTAAAAAGTTCGGCGCGGTTCAAAGTTCGTGACTGTTCTCTGTCCGGCGATCCCCTGCCAAAGTTCGTCAAGTGTCACACTTTTACGCTTCGAGTAAACCTACGAGTCGTGTACGATCGTTCTTGCACGTCCTATCATTAGTTTCCTGATAGTCTGTCCAGTTCTGAATCATTCATCGAAGGTGAAGTCTCTCGTTCTAGAGTCTATAGTATAGAGGTTCACGATGTTCAACATTATTATTTTTAGATCACTCGATAACGCGCTCTTCGTACCGCTCATTTGCTGTAGCAATGGACATCGCTCAACATCGACGGTGTTTCGATGATTGATAAAGAAACATCTGAGCGTACGAGGTTTGCGTTTCTATCGATTGTGATGTATATCGGCGGAGAGACGGTGGAGCGTAGGAGTGCCGGAGATAGAAAGAAATATCCACGATTAGATGTTTCCATATGAAAACGAGGTCGATTACAATATTCCCAGACCGATCATCCATCGAGAGGCTCTAGCAGGCAGTCGTCGAAAGAGCGCGGCACCATTGAGGCCGGTTATGGACAGGATCAGCGGCGCGAGGCGCGAGTCCGGCGCTCAAACCGACATCTCCGCGCTTCCGGCTCATTGGCGCTCGGAAAGTTATCTCGCGCACAAAGTGGCACACGCGTTCACCACGTTGCCGAGTAAATTCGCCTTGCCGACCGGCGTGCCCGGAAGGCTCCGGCTCTCCGACAAGACTCGGGAGGCCAGACGAGTGATGCTCTCGGATATCAGCTTCACCAGCATGGTGCCAGAACTGTCCAGAAGCGCCGATCATCTCTGCCACGATCCGCACGTACAGGTAGGACCTGAATCAGATTCAACGCCCTCGTAGATTGCTCTGTAGAAATCGAGACGCGCCAAATGTCCTTTAAAATGCTACATATTTCACGTGAAAGTCTCTCGATGCAACCGATAGACACCTCTTGCACATCCCTGACAGCGCGTACATTTCTGTTTCAGACCTGCTTCAACTCGCGCGGCTGCGGTCTTCGCACGCCAGACGTGCACCGCCGCGAATCATTGGGTTCTCCGGCGGGTTTCTGGCCTCGCTGCAATCCCAGCACAGGGCTTCCTAGTCCCTGCGACTGTCGCCTCTCCACCGACCTCTACTCGTCGCGGTATCGCGGCTCCTTGAGCTCCATTCCGTCGCCTGGTCTAGAGGTTGTCAGCGGCCCGTCGCGAAGACACTCCTGGAGAGCAACGGCGGCGTCCTTCGACACGTGGAGAGTCCCGGTGGCTACCTCCACCCCGAGGCCCACTTGGTCTTCTATGCCGTCGTCACCGACCCATGTGCACCCTCCGGCAACGTCCTCGAAGATCACCAAGAACGTTCCGAAGAGAACGCGATCGAAGGTCACCTTCCAAGGTAATGGCTGTAAAACGCGTTTCGATGTTTCTCGATTTTGATATCACGGTCGTTTCTACCGTCAGGAATCGTCTGTTTTCGAAACAAGGTCGCTTCAGCGATGAAACAGGGTGGTCGCGTTTGATTGCAGAATGCCCGATGACGCGAGGCAGCCTGCCGAATTTGCGCTCGGACTTGGTCGGCGGCGATAACAGCGGCGATTCGACCGAATCGTTGATCGACGAGGCCGAGGATTATTTGCGACGAAGCATCGACTCGATGCTGACAGTTTCCAGCAGCGGCGTCTGTTCCGATTATTGGAACAAACAGACGGCCAGGCGGAGACGGGCGCGCCGCTATTCCGAGCCTGATCTCATCCGTGACTGGCATCCGCCTCAGGATGCCAGACCGTACCTGCCAAAGGTAAGTTTCATCAGTGTCTACCCTAATCCGATTAATTAGGAGACGACGACGAGCTTGCAACGTTCAGCCCTTCTGTCTCTGGCATTCGCTTTTCGAATTGACGGCAACTTTGACCGTGACCTCTCTCTCTCTCTCTCCACCTCGTGCTTTATTAAAAATTATCCGGTAAATTGTGCGGATAACTACCACCATTATATTGTAATCTGCTTGTACGTATGCATGCATGTACATACACGCGACCTTGACCTTCGCGTATGGAATCAAGGACACTTTCCTGCGTAACTCTTAAAAGATTTCTCCTCCCCCTCCCCCGTATACCTGCACACACACATACACACACACACACGTCGGCCGTTTATGGCAAACTTGTTTTGCCAATAACTTGTTAAAATAAAAGTTACGCGACCGCAGCCGCTGCGTCCGTGGGAATCGATATTTGTCGCAATGTCGCGACATCAACACTTGTACGATCCTGCTGCGTAAATGACGAGGAGGAGGCGGGCGCCCACACTTGGTCGGCCGTTAAAAAGTCCGATTGTAACACGCTTTTGCATCTAGGGTAACGAAACTTGGCCGTACCCGTTGTTGCCGGTTCAGATGCACGAGCGACCTTCGGACTTCGATAATGTACATATGTTAGTTAATAATAAATCGAGGCAACCGCTCTATGCCACTATTCGCGATCATTATTTGTTCAGATACCAAGGGATCTCAAGCTGGACCATCTGGTCAAGGTGATATCGCCGGAAGGAAGAGTTCTGCAAGGACGCGTCAGGTACGTGGGACCTGTACCAGGACGGGACGAGGCACACGTTGGCGTCGAGTTACCATACATGAACGGCACGTCCGATGGCACTTTTCAGGGCAGGAGATTCTTCGATTGGTGAGTCGAGTGTTTCATCGATTTTTAACCCTTAAATGCATGACTTTTTGTTTTCAATTTCTACTTATCAAACTTCATTTAAAAAATGAGTGTGTATTAAGGGAAAAAAGCGAAGAAAAAAATTATATCTTTAGGAAAATAGTTTTTTATTACAAAATTATCGTATATAGCCAATCGGCTACAAAACAAAATATTCTTCTGTATGTTGCCAAATGGCAACACGGTGCATTTAAGGGTTAATATCTATTGACCATCGGTCTTCAACTTACACGGAAGCTTCGAATGTCTTTTGTTTCGGGAACAAAGGAATAGTAATTCTATGTCGCTCTTTTTTTTAAATTATTTAGTTTATTTGATATATTTGGTGTATTTATCATATTTATTATATTTAACATATGTTACTCGATTTCAAAGATTCATTAGAATACTAACTTGTTCTTTCGCGAACTAAATACAATCGTTTGTTCTTATTCGCTCCGTTTACGAAGTTTTCCGCACGAGTTACTCTATCGGCGGCATCGTTAACGTCAATTCTCGCTACTTGCACCCGGTAGTTGCAGCCCTACTTGAATACCGAACACACTCGTAGATGCAGATCAATGTTCTCGCTATCGACGTACCTCTCGCTCCCATTCTCTCATTGATATTTCATTTTCATCCGTCCCTTGAGTCGGTTTCACACATTTCTCACAGCCTCTGGGACAGTGGTGCATCCTGCTCGACCATTTATCATTATATAAATAATTCTTGCCCACTCTCTAACAATTCGAACTTGAAAAAATTTGTTCTTTATACATTTACATAAAGAAGTTTCAAGGATGTCTCTTAGAAATATCTTTGTAATATCAGGAAATGTGAAATAAAAAAATCAGGAACCCGTGGTCTTGGTTGGATTGGTAGTTTTACTGTCAATAATCACGGTCGTCAAAGTCTCTGAGAGAATCCTGAGGAGTCAATTTTTTTTTTCATCAATTGTCCCACTTCTCCGTTGCACAGAAGTCAGTGGCGATTATTGATTCTTCAATAGAACTCACCGACCCTTGTGCACTTGAAATCTCCTCGCACATCTTCAGCTCTCAAGTCGATAACGCGAGCTGGCACTCGGCTAGTTTCTTCTTCTCGTACATATGTACATCGTCGACTCTTGTAAATACATGACCCTCCGCTACATTTACGGCTGTGCAGACTATCTTCGTTACCGCAAAGCCTTTCGTACACTTCGCGCCAGTCGCGATTAACGCGTTAAGCGCCGTAAATCAAGCCCAAAAGCTCGCGCAAAATCAAACCGATCCGATCAACGAAGCTGAAACTAGTTCGTTCGAATACACAATATCGCGTTAAAAACGAATTTTCGAGACCGNAAAAGTCCGATTGTAACACGCTTTTGCATCTAGGGTAACGAAACTTGGCCGTACCCGTTGTTGCCGGTTCAGATGCACGAGCGACCTTCGGACTTCGATAATGTACATATGTTAGTTAATAATAAATCGAGGCAACCGCTCTATGCCACTATTCGCGATCATTATTTGTTCAGATACCAAGGGATCTCAAGCTGGACCATCTGGTCAAGGTGATATCGCCGGAAGGAAGAGTTCTGCAAGGACGCGTCAGGTACGTGGGACCTGTACCAGGACGGGACGAGGCACACGTTGGCGTCGAGTTACCATACATGAACGGCACGTCCGATGGCACTTTTCAGGGCAGGAGATTCTTCGATTGGTGAGTCGAGTGTTTCATCGATTTTTAACCCTTAAATGCATGACTTTTTGTTTTCAATTTCTACTTATCAAACTTCATTTAAAAAATGAGTGTGTATTAAGGGAAAAAAGCGAAGAAAAAAATTATATCTTTAGGAAAATAGTTTTTTATTACAAAATTATCGTATATAGCCAATCGGCTACAAAACAAAATATTCTTCTGTATGTTGCCAAATGGCAACACGGTGCATTTAAGGGTTAATATCTATTGACCATCGGTCTTCAACTTACACGGAAGCTTCGAATGTCTTTTGTTTCGGGAACAAAGGAATAGTAATTCTATGTCGCTCTTTTTTTTAAATTATTTAGTTTATTTGATATATTTGGTGTATTTATCATATTTATTATATTTAACATATGTTACTCGATTTCAAAGATTCATTAGAATACTAACTTGTTCTTTCGCGAACTAAATACAATCGTTTGTTCTTATTCGCTCCGTTTACGAAGTTTTCCGCACGAGTTACTCTATCGGCGGCATCGTTAACGTCAATTCTCGCTACTTGCACCCGGTAGTTGCAGCCCTACTTGAATACCGAACACACTCGTAGATGCAGATCAATGTTCTCGCTATCGACGTACCTCTCGCTCCCATTCTCTCATTGATATTTCATTTTCATCCGTCCCTTGAGTCGGTTTCACACATTTCTCACAGCCTCTGGGACAGTGGTGCATCCTGCTCGACCATTTATCATTATATAAATAATTCTTGCCCACTCTCTAACAATTCGAACTTGAAAAAATTTGTTCTTTATACATTTACATAAAGAAGTTTCAAGGATGTCTCTTAGAAATATCTTTGTAATATCAGGAAATGTGAAATAAAAAAATCAGGAACCCGTGGTCTTGGTTGGATTGGTAGTTTTACTGTCAATAATCACGGTCGTCAAAGTCTCTGAGAGAATCCTGAGGAGTCAATTTTTTTTTTCATCAATTGTCCCACTTCTCCGTTGCACAGAAGTCAGTGGCGATTATTGATTCTTCAATAGAACTCACCGACCCTTGTGCACTTGAAATCTCCTCGCACATCTTCAGCTCTCAAGTCGATAACGCGAGCTGGCACTCGGCTAGTTTCTTCTTCTCGTACATATGTACATCGTCGACTCTTGTAAATACATGACCCTCCGCTACATTTACGGCTGTGCAGACTATCTTCGTTACCGCAAAGCCTTTCGTACACTTCGCGCCAGTCGCGATTAACGCGTTAAGCGCCGTAAATCAAGCCCAAAAGCTCGCGCAAAATCAAACCGATCCGATCAACGAAGCTGAAACTAGTTCGTTCGAATACACAATATCGCGTTAAAAACGAATTTTCGAGACCGATCGAACGTCGTTAGACTACGCTAGCGCGATTAACGTGCTCGCGCTGTTACGAAATCGTGCGGTCGTTATTTGCTGCATATTGCGTTCCGCGAACTCTTGCGGAAGTTAACAGTTTACAATGAATCGATAGCTCGAACCTGTGCCTAGCTCGAAAATCTCAGCTTCGAAGATGCGCTTGCAGGCGGCCCTTCCGAAATTAACAATAATTTGCGGAAGTGATTTATTTTACCTTCCACTTTACGGAATCTCTCCTTCGAACGGAGACCGAAGAAAGTGACAAAGATATCGATTCCTCGGGGATCCGTTCGGACAATGTTCCTCCCTATAGCTGTACTGCGCTGCCATTATTTTCACTGCAGTCGTAATGCAGAGTCGCAACAACGGCATTGTGTTAATGAGGACTGCTAACTGCGAAAACGCGACCAACGGCTCGTTCGATAAAAGGCCTTGTTATTGTTGTGACGGAACAGAGAGTAGCTCGATTCACGGCAGCCTTCGACTTGACGCACGTGAAAGACAAGTTAATGTCACGCTACGCGGACACGAAGAACGATCGTAGGAATTCCAAACTGCAGTAAATTCTCCCGAATCTTTCTTCAGCTTGCGAACAAAAATCTTCCGCGTCTTGCAGCACGTTTCGACGATCGTTGACGATCGGCAACTATAACATATCTCCTGTTCCCATATTTTTGTTCACCGGCTAAAGGAAAATCGGGGAGAATTTATTGTATTCTTCGTCGAACATTTCGCCGCCTAGTGCAACATGCCAGGCGGTCCTCCAGAATCCGAATTTCGAAACGTGGACATTTTATCGCCATTTTTACATCCCCCCCTTGCAACGAGCAACCTTTTTGTCCGCGAACTAATCTTCTCTTTAATCTCGATCGTTGTGAAATAACGTAAGAGAAAACGAGAATCAGCGCGAAGATCCGCAGTCTAATTATCGCCAACGCGCACCCTTAACAGACTACCCGGTTCATTCGACCGAAAAAATAAGAGCAGCCCGGAGAACAGCGATTGTTCCCTAAAGCTGTCCCTATCGGGTGTCCGCAATGTAATTCCGGAAAGTTTGAATTCGCGTAAACGTGGCAGGTCTGATTAGCACCGCGGATAATTGCGCGGGCCGCATCTGGTTCACGCTTCTTTCGAAATCGCGATAAGAATCGCATCCGACGACGCGGCGTATCCGACTTGGCGAACCCGTCCACGGGCGTTCACGGGTTCGTGTTTGCGTTTTCTTGGCAGCGTTTCTTCCGCGGGCGTCACGGCATCTCCGTAGAGTTCTCAATTAAATCGGCGCCACCGGCAGCGGCCGGGGCAAGGGGGTGGCTTTTCCGAATCCGGCCGACGTATTTAATTTCGTAATTGCCTCGCGTTTTCGAGGTAATAGGCCGCGGTACAAGCTGCGTGACAAAAGCAATTTCGCCCCGCGATAAACTCTCGTCTCGAACTCGCCCATGCACCTGCATGCACCTCCATGCACTCGCGACGGTGCACGTGTGTACCGGAGGCGCGCCGCGCCGCGGAGCCGGGGCTTTCGTGGAAGAATGCAAAGTTACCCGTGAACTCCGCTCGATAGGTCTGTGTTACTTTTCAACGGCCATTGTTTTACATTGTAAAGTACGCTCGATAATTTATTCGGAATAATATAACCGATAGCGTCGCCTGTTTCAGCAAACGAGTAATTACCAGACCGCGGATCTTTACACGCATTCGCGATAAAGGCGTGCAGCTGCGGTCTCAGATGGAATAATTTAAAGAACTCGAGCAGAACCCCCTCCCCGATCTGCTGAAGTTCCTCGTGAAAGGAGACAATCCCCGAGCGCGGCGTCCAAATAATCCCGCGAGAGATACAGAAGATTTGCCTAAAGATTTACAGTATGGCGATTAAATGGCGCTTTAACTAGTCTAACTAGTAGCGGAGATATTTATTAAGAATTCCTTCAAGTTTAAGTATTCGAGGAAACGCAGGGGCGCGGTAAATACAAATTTTCTTTTTCGAAGAAATTATTCTAATCGAAACATTTCTAGCTTCAATCAGAAATCGATCGATCAAATACCATGTATATAAAACAGAAACGTTCGGAGATACTTTCAACAATCTTTTATCATTAGTTTCAGCGCGCTAAAATCATCAAAAGAAGAAACATGTTTGCATTGAACTCGCGCCGCTTGTTATCGGTGCAAACAGTTTTTATATGACGCAAGGAACCGCGCACAGTAATCGCTAGAAAGCGCGAACACACTCGTCGTTGCATCGAGTCTCGGAAGCGATACGTTCTAGTAGAAGATAAATTGAACGTAAGAGAGAAAATACACCGAATTCCAGGGTAGTGGTTCTAGGTCAATTACACCTCATCAACAGCTGAAAGCATCGGGGCGCGGCCCGAAACCGCGTCGATAGTTCGCGCTCGGTTAGAGTTACACGCGAAGAACTCGGGGCTAACGCACATAGGTGCCTTCTCGAGATCAAAATCTGAGGAGGTGCAACACACTTTCGTGGACGACGATTCGTCACGCGAGCATTATTCCGACCGGGCGAAACTTCCAACGATTCACCAAGGCTCGCTCCCTGCGAGCTATGGCAGAGGCGTCCGCTGATAACGTGTGTGACAATATTCCAAGAATCGACCGACCGTTTCTTCCACGCCCACTTCGTGCAATTGAGAGATGAAATTGAAACCGAGGTTGTTCTCGTCCGCGCGATGAATGCCCGTTATAGACGCGACCGACACAATCGTTTCATCGAATTTCGAAAGCAATTTTTGCTGTTTCTCAACGTTCTTTTGTGTTCCCTTCTAGAAATGAGATCAACGCTGAGCCTGGCGATGTCTACGATCGACTAACAAGTGTTGCTTTATTGCAAGATCGAGTTTATTTAAATTTTTCACGATTCGTAGTCGACAATTTCTAATGGAAGCAGCTCTGCGACTTCAATAATTATGAAATGAAAAATGTGAATCCGGTCATTTGACGGTCAGCGGTGGGTTTAGTATTGATCGAATAGAAAGAATCGTTTCTAGAATCGAAATACGCAGAAAACTGAACAATTTGGGAAGAGGAGATACGATTATTCGAGCCTTGCGACTCGTTTTTACAGCGACCGATTGTCAACGACAAGATTTGATTTCGCGCAAGGGTCGTAATTTTAATGGATTACGGATAATACGATCAACTTATTTTTCTTTTGCATGAAATCAGCGTTAATAAAACTCTGCCTTGTCGTTCGGTGACGTGATCCGTATCGGTTGTGTTCCAGTGATCCAGATCGAGCGATCTTCGTTCCATTCAAGAAGGTGATCCTAGCGTGGTGCACCACTTGACCCGAGCCGCCTACCACCCTGACGACTCCCCGGATCCTATTGTCTCAGTACACGATGTGAACGACGCGGACGACGAGAACAACGTGAACAACACTAAGCAACGCTGGGTGCGTATACAACGCGATCTATGTACGATTTCTCCGCTGGTCACCTGGATGATCGGCGATCCCCTTTTGCGATCGTTCGCGATCATTTGCGATCCGTTCGACATCGTCGCGTGCTAAACACGCCCGTGTTCCCCGAACAGAGACCATTGGGACAGTCTCCGAGAGTAAACGTGGACGTTCGTTTCGACGTTCGCCTAGAAATCGATCCCCACCGATCAATCGCGAACCGTTATCGTCGCTTCAACTATCGACACGTTTCCCCCTGAACAGATCAAACACAAAGCATGTGATATAATCTTTTGTACCTTGAGTTGATCGATCGCACGCAGGCTAGGATTCTCCGTTCGAGACGAACGGACGAATCTACGTTGTTATCGAGTCGATTGTCCTCGGTGGCGGCGGACCGTATCTTTATTTTTGCTGGAAGCGAGCAAGCGGATGGAACGTGTGAACGCGCGTGTACATGTGTCACGGCTACGAGGAGAAGCACGGTTTTCGACGCTGATCTCTTAAGTAAGAGCGACTCCCGGGAACGGGCAATCAGTATTAATTATGCGAAACTCAGTCCGGCTAGGGACAGAAGGCACAAAACGGCGACGACGGATATCCTCGCTCGGTGAAATCGAACACCGACGCGCGACGAATCGTCCGACACGACGATGTGTTAATTAACATTGCAGTCGAGGATTACGACTGTGTCCCCACGTCGCCGTAGCAAACGGCAACGGAGGACTCGCTATTGTCATTCGATCGATTACTTTCGACTGTTTCGCAACGTGTGATAAACATTCCAAAGCCGCGCGAACTCTTCGCGGGACAAATGTATTTTTCATGCTTCAGGACCGCGATCCCCGCGGAATCTTTCCAAAGAGTGTACGTCAGATTTCAGCGTTTTTTCGTCGAGTATTCGAGCCTGAGCTGACACCTGAATAAACTAATTCCGGTACGAATGTTGTTGATCTCTCTTCGAAGTCGAAGCGAAGTTTGATTCTTTCGCGATCCAGGAACGAGAGCGAACGTGGAGGGCCATACGAGAAAGAATCGTTGTCTCGTTCGATTAGGGGAGCGCTAATCGGCGTAGTTGCGGAAGAAATCGTTGGTGTAAGAGGATCGTGAAGGCTCTACTGTGTTACCAATTAACTCTTTCGCTGCCACGGTTTTGCTGTCCGCTTCGTATGTTTCCAGGAACGGAGCGGTATTTATTGCAGCGATGCTTCGCTAGATCGGATCGAGGCATCTCTGTGCGAAACATAAGTATTGTTTATATGCTTCCTTATCGATGCTGAATGTGTTCGATTATTTTCGCGACGAACGGTTTGTTAAATTTCGTTCTGCTACGTACGCTGCACAGCGCACCCTTCGCCGCAAGTGTGTTAAGACGTTCGTTTACTCGATTGTTCTGTTCATTTACATTTAATCGAGAAGCGAACGAATCAAGGTTATTTCATTCTGTATCGTAGATAAAGATTAAAGATTGATTTTCCAATTGTTTTTCGGTCGGCACTCGCGCGTGGTGCAACGCGCATGATTCTCGTCGATGCATGCTCTGCTCTAACATGGGACCAGCGTTTCGCGGGACGCGTTTTCTGATCGAAAAGCGGCGGCTTTAAGTTGCTCGGATACAGCAACAAGTTTCTCCAATTTAGCTAGAAGGATTTTGAAGTTGCGCGAAAGGTTCCTGGACGAATCCCGTTCTATTTCTAAATTGATTCGCCCGAAGCAGGTGTCGATCAACTTATCGTTACAGCGGGTGGGGACCCCGAACGACCAACACTTCTGAGCACGAGTTGTTCGAATCGTACTTAGAACTCGCGACCAGCTCTCGTCGACGATCATTCTGTACGTATTTACTCCGTAAATATTCATGTTCGACCGTCGAGAACAGTCGCGACGCGTGTCCGAACCGACTGTGTTTGTTCCGCAGAGAACGGATGATGGAACGGGTTAACGTGTTAGACATATGTACGCGCACGATTCTATTTTTGTAACTCTTACGGAGTGCGAGATTTCCTCGGAGACAATATACCGGAGTGTAGCGCGCGTTTTTCGTGTAGAGATCGCACGTAGGATTTCAATGACGATGCTCTCTGTGATATCGTGGATCGCACGCGAAACGGAAAATAGCAGACGCGACGGAAGAATATCAGAACATATGGCTACTAGATCGGATCAACTATCACGGTTCAAATTCTCAAGGGGAACAATACGTCGCCGTTCGATCTCCCGTTTCTTCAAATTATTGGAAACCTGCTCCGAATCATTTTTACTCCGCGCGCAGATCCACGATTTAATCGCGATTGCAGTGGATCTCCCGGCAAGATTTAGACTCGAATGGATCGATTCGACTCGTTGAGAATGCCTACGCCACGATCTGGTCCTTGTTGACATCGTTTGTTAACGAAATTTTCGTCGAGAACTGTCCGCGCTCGGTTCGCGCTTAAACAATAGGCGTACGAATTGTTTCATCGATCGTAGAATTTAGTCGATTGTTTCATCGTTGTTCGATATTGTACCTCGAAACGACGCGCGTTATCCGTGTTATCGGAGAGTTTGCTAGATCTCAAATGAATTCAATTAACAAAGGAATTCGTTTAACACGCGACGATACGGCGATATGGTGCTAAATCGCATTTCGACAGTTTCTATTTCACGACGAAACCAGTTTCCAGAATACGAACAGATCCGTGAGAAACGCAACAGTTGTTTTTTTGCCGGTGCACGATTTTTCTCGATGGGACGACGACATTTCCAAATATTTATTTTCTCCACGCGTTACGCAACAGGCAAGTTTTTATACAGGTCCGATCGATATCGTACAAACGACTCTTTTTATCGACACCCTGCCCTTTCGAAATATTTTTATAGGATTTCTGAAAATGGTATATATAATATGTATATGTGTATGTACATATATATTTTTTTTATTATATTTTACGTATATCTTTATTCGTACAGTCGTAGTCTCTCTGCACCTTTAAATGTATACAGGCGATGATTAACGTAGAGAAACGAATCCGTTCGAGGACTCGACAAGAATCAAACGTCGACCGTAAATTCTGCGAGCCCCTGGCATCGAAACAGAAAACGAGTTCACCTAATCACGTGGCGAGGAAAGCACGTCGAGGTTGAAAATACGCATGCATGTTTTATCGCGACCTGTGTACTTAAATGTACTTAAATACTTTGGTGTCTATGTAGCAAAAATCAGTGTCGCAAGACTTCTAAAAGACGCGAGAAAACGGACGAAGATCGCATCGCGAGCGCGGATGCGATTAATTGCCGGTGAAAACGAGACGCGCTGTTCAGAAGCCGGATTCTCCGTGACGCGTGTTACGCGTTCAAAGCAGGAACCGGTTGAACCGCGAATTAGTTCAGGTCATCGTAAGTTTAAATAACCGTCCTTTGGTTGATTCTAATTATTCGTTCGTTAATGGTTCAAGATCCGTCGCGCGGATTTCGTTCGGCAAGAGCGAAGGGATTTACGTTCGAAGAGCGGCGCCAATTAGCGGACACCGCGGGATACTTTTCGCGCGATCTAGTCGCGACTCCGTTCAATTATTCAGCCTGTTCTCTGGGAAACTTGGGGCACAGTTCGTAACTTTCGACGCACCGAAGCGACAATATCGATTCCTCGTTGCGACTCGAGCTACGCGAAAGTCTTGCTTCCCGGTAACACCTCTGCAACGATAATCAAAACTATATACGATGTACCTACATGCTCGCGTCTAATCGGGATCGCGACGGCGTATATACTCGCGCGAGCACTAATTACGTTGCCTATCTATGCGGCGATGGAATCAAGTTTAATGTCGCGCATTAATCCGACGCGTCGTCCTGTATCGTTACCGCGGCGCGCGTGTAATTATACCGTGTGCCTCGTCGATGATTCCCACTAAATTATCATTTCAATGTTTAACCTCTTGACGCAGTTAACGCGATTAGAAATCTTTCGATCGCGATCGCTTCTTAGAGGGGACAGAAAATCGATGCTCGCCGTGCGCCTACATTTAGAGATTCGAATTTTATTCCAGTTTCAAAGGACGGAATAACAACTATACTTGATCAGTTATTTTCTTGAAATTTTCATCGCGAGTCGGATTGGTCAAATATACTTCTAACAGTGTGTTAGAAACGATTCGGTTATTCGACAACCTCGAGAAAGCGTGGAAACAATTTCTCCAACGATTTCACGCGTTCGACTGTGTTTATCGAACTGTGATACGTGACAGGGCCTATAGCAGTTCTATTTTATTTACCGGGAAATTTTTCAATAGTCTTCGCCGCACCGTTCTCCAACAAGATAAATAATGTACCATTGTCGCGATCGGAACAAGGATTTCGCAGCGTAATTCAATTAACAGCGTCATCAAATAATTGATTTCGCGCAGCGAACAGCGCCTCGTCGCTGCCACCGTTTGTCTGCGATATGCAAACGATTTCTATAGCCGAAGTTCTTAGAAGCGATCGCGAAGTGTCGATCCTTTCCTGCAAAACACCCGCTGTCGTTTATTAGCTGGTCGTGTATGCGTAAACTTTGTCGCTCGGAAGCTTCTCGAGATTCTCGTTTGCGTAAACACCCACGGGCGCGCGTGAGAGACAGGTGCGCTACACGTTGCCACGAGTCATAAGAAAATCAACAAGGAAGTTGAACGTATAGACGACGGCTATTTATGAGATCGAAGTGCAGTAACTTTGTAGTACTATGTACACAGGAAATTCATTGTCCCAGATTCTCTTCAATCTTTTTCCTTCGCGCTGTCGCGCGACGATCGAACATCGTCCAATAAATTCCCGACAAATCCTTCGTGAATTCTTGATCGATTCTATCATTGGGAATTCGATGATCGTAATCCGACTGCGATATTAATCATTCATTTTTCTTTCATCTGTATACGTACGCGTGGCCGACCGTGCCAGAATCGTTGTGTTTTTAGATTATTGTTAAATTTGTTGTTTACTCTTCTCTCTGCACGGAGAGAAGATTTATAAATCTGTATTATCCGTTTTCCATTTCTTTATTCTCGTTAATTCTCGTTACGATAATTATTCTGGAATATTGGATTTTTCGATACGTCGACGTGCCATTTGAACAGCTGTTATCACTATCTTTTGCGATAGTCGCGGTATACTTGATTCCATAGCCACGATTCAGGCCGTAGATCTTTCTCGAGCAAGGTTGCTGAACTGCAACTATCCATTGCGATACCTATGTCCCACCGATGGTGGAACATTCGAGGTGGGTTCGTCGCGACGCATGTTTGGAATTCGCAATTATTCGTGAAATTACACGTGACGATTTTTGAATCGCGCAACAGCGGTATTAAAAACGAGAAACGAGTATCGAAGTGTAAGTATCGAGCACGTGTTATTTCGAGAAAATTGCATTCAAAGATGCGCAGGATATCGGCTCCGATGGAATTGTAAATCGAGGAAACGACCTTGTACGATGGAAATCCACCGGCGAAGTAGACGCTGATAATTGTCTCGTAGATCCATCGAGCAATAACGATCGTGAACGAGGTCGGCATATTTGAGGCAGCGGAATAAAGTGATCGGAAACATTTGCGGCTGCCCGACGGACATAACAAGATGCTTATTCAGTATTGTTCGACGTTTATTTATATATTTGCAAGTTATTCGTTAACGTTATTAACTGCATCTCCGATTTGTTTCTACGTCCGAGCGTCTTCGATTTATTTCTGCGTCTGAACATCTTCGATTCATTTCCACGTCTCAACGTCTCTAATTTAATTATTAATCGTACCTCGAATTCAGTTATTAATGCCGCGAGAAAAAGACGAAAGCTTGACCAGAGCTTCGACGATAATAAGCGAGCAAGTGTAGCGAGCATTGTGGTCGCAAGTGCTGGTTTCTTGTTACAGCTCACGTGACTTTGCGGCGATGTCATCTACTCACCGAGTTACAGGTTTTAAGATCGGAATTTTCACGCGTTGATTAGAGTTGGCATTCTAAGACCGAGCTCTCCAGCATCTTAAACGTTCGACGATTAAAAAGTATTTAAAAAAAAGGAAGATATTTCCTTCGATGTCTGACCAAACGCGAACCTATTTCCCTCGCCGGCAAACACGATCGATTTCCTTCGGTAAGATCGATGTTCGATCGATCAATGTTCACTGTCGATGGTTCCTAGCAAAATTCCTTTATTCTTCTGGCGATATATCGCGACTTTTATGCGTTCACAGCGAAAACGGGCGAGCGAAATACAGAGCGAGACGAGGACATCGGAGGAATTCAAGGATCCCGTCGCGTTGCGCTTCGAATTTATTTTTCATTTCGCGCGATCATCCGCAGCCTACCGATTGCAGACAGATTCATCCAACAGTGGCCTTACGAATTTCTCTGAAAGAAACCACGGTTTCATCCACGCGCGTTCACGCATCGAACGGAAACGTAACTTCGTCCGAACACGTATGAGAATCGCCATACGTTCGCCAGACTAATCGACCGCCGCGGAACTTCGACTCTCCGTAGACCGGACGCGCCGTATACAGTAATGTCTCCCTTACCGACGCTCGGATCGTCCACTAAAATGGACAATTTGGGAAGAGGAGACGCGATCGTTCGAGTCTCGCGGCTCGTTTTTATAATTGTGGACAATTTATGGGAATGTTGCTCGCCTCGACGAGATTGTTATCGATGCACTTGGAACCGGTGTACAGTGAATTCTTGCTAATTTACTTTCGGCTGATAAACAAAAGTGAACAATTTGGTAAGAGTGCAGAATCTGAGCGCGAATTGGGAAGAAATTTTTCGTTTTTCTAATCGTTGGCAATCGTCAACTATAAAAATAAACCGCGAGGCTCGAACAATCGTATCTCCTCTTCCCAAATTGTCCATTTTTGTGGTCGATCTGGGCGTCAATTAGAGAGACATTACTGTAATTTTGGAAAAGTTTCATTCACCGTCTTAGAATTCTAACGCGAACCGAACCACGATATATATGCAGGCATTCTATTTTTCTATTACAGTGTACCAGAGACTACTATAATCTAAAAGCCGACAACGCGTCTGCGCGCCTCCTCGCATCACCGTGTTCTCACGCAATTCAATATAACCTTGCGTAACCCGATCATTATCAGCAACAGGCGCGCGTACAAAATCGTGATGTTGCCTTGGACCTTGCAACCGCTTGTCTTTCATAAACATTCATCGCGATACTTCGCGAACCGCGTTGCGTTGCTCGGCGCGTCCGTGTCACGGTTCGCATGTATTAACCCTTTTCACGGGCGCAATATGATTTTTCAAGAATACATCGACTCGATAAGAAGCTTCGGCGATGGGAATATTCGAGCCCCGGTGGTCCATATGCGCGCTAAAAGTGGGCGGGGAGCATGGTTCCCGGTGCCTATGAAAGGGTTAAATTGTCAGGATTATTCCAAGGTTGTTCGCGCCAAATCTATTTCTCGATCAGCTTCGTGATAGGATAAAAATACAGTAAATTCTCCCTCAGCTTGTAAACCTAAATAGAGAGAATTTAGGGAGAAGGGATACGATTGTTTGGTCCTCGCGGCTCGTTTTTACAGTTGTCGACAATTGGCGACCACGGAAACGAGCCCCGCGAGGCTAAATAATAATCGTATCTCTTCTTCCTAAATCGATTTTTATTTACCAGCTGAGAGACAATCGGAGAGAATTCACTGTCATACGCGATTCGTAGGAGAAAAATCGCCGATACGCGAGATCATATATTTTCGTTCCTCTGTATCGTCCCTGGAAACTATACCAAAGCTATCGTTTCGCGTTAGAACAATTCGAAGAGACATTCACTCGATGCAGACTGCATCTCGTAATCGAATCTCGTATGGATGAGCATCTCGTTAAAAGAACGGATAAACACGGGTGGCCGACAGATAAAAACAAGTTCGGAATCGAATCGTTAACGGAAGAGACGCAAGCTCGTCGAAGAACCTCTTCCCCTTTCAATCGATACGAACGATCTTTGATTTGCATAAACATCCGGCTGGACACGCGTGCCGCGGCGACACGTTCAACAAGTCTAGTCAATAACGAAAAAAGAAAAACGGAAAAAAATGTTTAAAAAAAGATCGAGATATAACATGGTAGACGCGAGAACAACTTTTCAGCTGCTCCTCAACCGCCGACTCGAATTTGTCGAAGGTGCTGTAGAATAATTGCTATTGTTCGATCGATGCATAATATATTTTGACGGCGAGAGTCCGACGTAACAGTTCGACGCGTTCCTTTATGTAAAGAAAACTGAAAGAAAGAAAGATGAGAAAGAGAAAAAGAGAGAGAGAGAGAGAGAGAGAGAGAGAGAAAGAGAGAAAGAAGCGATAATCGTCGTGTGCGTCCGGAGATTGTGCATGTATATTTATCGTGGAACAGTGTTTAAATAAGCATTTAAGAGGCTATAGAGAAGAACCTGTGTACAATTCGAGCTGTGTACATACGTATCCTTTAATCGCTGTGAAGAAAACAAAAAACATATATTTAAACGCGTGTCTGTGTGTTCGTATTTGTATATCTCTCTGTGCAACAATGTAAACAGCATGATTTAAGATACGCAGAATTGCAGTTCAAGAATACGCGGTATAATAAAACGCGTTCTAGCTGTTAGGGTTAAATCAGTGTAGGTGTCTCTTTGTCTCTCAACAGGTCGGTGGATCGGGTCTGGCGTTCGACGATACGAGAGATAATACGGGAATTGGTTTGCGCGCTTGTGATTGTTACGTTTCGATGATGCGAATTTGCGAGGCTGTCTTCTCGCTGCGACGGAGTCGCTGTCGTTTGTTTCTTCGCTTGTGCGGAAACGGTTGAGGATTATTCTCGTTGCGGAATTGTCGCGAGACATCGTTGCGAGATCCGCTTTAGACGTTTTCGGTGTGTCGCGCTCGGGAACGGCGACGGTTCGAGCGTGTCGCGATTGTTTCGCGCTAATTGGAACACTCGTACACCGCCGGAATGTTTTTACCTCTGAACGTAGGCGAAGAAGGTTTTAGAAGATAATGGTCCTAAAGCTGTTCACGTTTAAACGATATTTCTCTATTCTACGTACATATACATATATTTTAGCGCGCGTACGATCCCGGCAGCACGCGAATCGAAGGATTGAAACTGCTCTCGACGCGAGGATCGCGTGGACAAAACGTGTACAGAGGATTCGGTGTGCGCGCGAGTTTCACTTTCACAATCCGATGATAACAGCGAGCCAAATCGAGGGGAATATTTGTGCGAATGCGGCGAATCTTGTGTAAATTGCTACCGGTTACGATATATTGGTACGGTGAAGGGCTGTTCTCCCCGATCACACTATCACATCCGGACAGCTTCCGATCACCGAACGCGTCCGATGCGCCGGCTGATTTAATACATAAGAATCGGAGGATAAAAATGTAATACGGAGTGTGACCCGAAGTTACTATGTGACCTGAAACTAATCGAAAATTCTACCCCCTAAGTTAACAATAGAATGAGTGTGATTATATTTAATGGCGACCACTATTGACTAAACTCGTAGAGCTAAAACAATACGATATCCTCGACTCGTTCTGATCACGTTCGAACAATGAATTCGAGAGGTATTTTTTCGTGTCGGAGGGGGGAGGGGCGGGGGGCGGGGGGGAAGGGACATCCGACGACAGCCATGTTTGATATTAACGACTAAACTATATTTTAAACTGAATGTAACTATGTCGCAACAATAAATGGTTCGAAATGATACTGCTGTAACCGAAAAACGTTCTCGAGAGTGTTTATTCGAGATGATTGTTCGTCGAAATCATTTCGTTCGCGCACGGTTACCATATTTGCGCGTGTAGCGTAAGCGTTTAAGGGTGGACGATTATATCCGAGGTGTGTGTCGTGCTTGAAAACAATTTTATTCGATTCGTTGAAGCTAATGCCAAATAATCTGTCGCTGGACTGTGTTAAAAAAAAAAGAAAAAAGAAAACAGAAAAAACAGATACGTAGCTGTATTTGAAAGAGCGTGTTGTTTCGATGCGGACGGCGACCGGGGGTGTGTGTACATAATTAAATAATGTGCTGGAATTGAAGGTGCGATGGCACCTTGATTGTTCGAATATTTTTACAGTTCTCGTTTGAACCCTTTCAACCAACTACATACATACTTCGACACCGCAAACTATTTTTCGATCATCGGGGAACGTCCCGATGAACATTCGGATAATCAAAACTCCATTGTACGTTACACGTGAATAAATGACAAGATACAGCATAGAATGACGACGAGCGTTCTCTGTGTTCCATCATTTAAAGGATTATTCAAAAATCTGTCCATGTTTCGAATAAAATGTCCAAACGTTCGACTCTCCACCAGTTCTAATTTCCATGTTTCGGGCTCCACGGACCATATTGATGTTAGATTAGAACCGCCCGAGATCATTACGAGATCATCTAATTCTCACGAATTGTTTTAGAAAAAGGTTTCGCAGCTGACGCTTGTTCCTCGGACGGCCACCTTTAGGCGTGCGATTCGGATGCAACGCCTAATCGATACGCACGGGTGTTGCTGCCTGGAACCGCTACTCCTACGCTGCCGGGGTGCGCCATAGGGCTCGCATATGGCATGGCTTAGGTGCATGCCATTTTCTGTTCGCGCCGGTTCATGCACCTTTCAAAAGTCTTCGGCGCCAAGCGAAACGGTGCACGAGTTGATAAACTGCAACCCTGCTTTGCAATGCATGCAGGCACGTATAGTCGCCTGTATGTATGTATGTATGTATGTATAACGATCCGATCTCGTTACCGGCTTATGCATTTTTATGCCGAAACTAAAGTTGTCCGCGCTAATTGCGAAAGACGGCTTTGCGAAGCGTTCCTTTGACAACGTTTTTTTCTTTTCCTCGCCAGAGGGCTCGAGAGGGGACACACCTGTTAAAAGTTGCATCGCAAATTAATTCACAAATTTAATCGCTCCGCTTCGATCGGCCCGCCCACTTTTTCTAGAACGGTTGCAAAATTCATTTCGTAGAAATAGCTGCATAAATCCTGAGTCGATGCCGAGACCTGCATAATAAATTACTCGACAACTCGACCGATTGGAACGATTAAAAGAAACAAAAGAGAAATATACCGATCATTAAAAACCGATATTTCTTATTACGATTTCTGCGAAAACTTTCGAGATTTTCCGAGAGTTGTCGGACCTTTTTCAACGTAATCTCGCGCACGAATCTCGAAACGGTCCCCAAAAAACAATCGCCGTGCGGCGTCGCGCAACACATTTTCGCGATTTTCCCCGGGAAGCCAACAGGTGTTCCTCGTTCCCGCTAATTTTCCGTCGTCCCGCGTACGCGCCAATGGTCCGCGGGACACGGTATATTAAATGCTACACGATCCGTGGGAACAGCAGCAGCAGCAGCAGCAGCAGCATCATCATCATCGTTTTACGTTTCCGCGTCGAGCCTCGTTCGGCTCGGCTCGCGATTTGAATTTCATTTAACCGCGCGCGTAAATGATATGCTCGGGTGCACCATTTGCGCGGCGGAACACACACGTGCCTCCGACCGGGTGCTTAATGCCTTTTAAGGAGAACAACAACGCGCGTCCGCGACCGCGTAACATATTATTATACATACATTCTGCACAACCTTGCATCGCCGATTCCGCCGCACGATAAAATGCACACGACTCTATTTTTCCGTTTGCTCCGACGGCCGGCACCCCGCGTCCACGCCGTCTCTCGCGGAACATCAGATCCGCTACCGCGATAAACAATATACGACTTCCCTCGAATGAATAAAGATATCCATTTCTGAAACTGTTACAGTCCGTTGGACGATAAGATTCGTTTTACCGTTTCAACGCGGCGCGACTGCAATCCGCGCTATTGTAATAATCTCGCTGAATGATTTTTATTCTTTGCGAACGAAGATTCTTTCGCGAGCAGAATCTTCCGCCTCGTTTTCGTCTGAAAGCGATTTAAAAGTACGGCAAAACACTGTTTGAAAGCAGCCGGATCTTATCGCGATTTTTTCTTGCATTTTCAATTGTTTTCTACCTTCGGAAATCGACGATTTCCGGCACGACAGCTGGTCGACGGCAACTGTATTGTGTCACAACATTGAATGTCCATTGAATAAATGAATCTTTAGTAAATAAGACTTTATTAGAGTACCGAATAGATCTCTTTTATTAATAGAGAGAACTGTATTAAAGGGAACGCCTCTTCTTTCAGAGAGTTTCTGCGATCAAGTGTTCCATATTGCTAGAGAGACGTCAAGGATATGTTAAACGCGACGAATTAACGTTTACGATCCATCTTTCGTACGCAAAGATTGCATACGAGCGCGAAAAGAACGCGGCGGGAATAGTGCATGAAGCAATGGGGAGAGCGTGCCGAGGATAATAACGAACATTCGATCGACCCTATCGTTTCCTCCGCCGAAGATGGTCACGATATAACTGCTTAAAGATTCCGTGATCCGTGAAATTCACGGGCTCGTTTCAATTACTTAATACTCCGATAGGGAATGATGCTCGCCTCGACGAGATTGTTATCGATGCACTTGGAACTAATAGCCGACGACTGCGAACCGGTATACAGTGAATTCTTTCTAATTTACTTTCAGCTAGTAAACAAAAGTGAACAATTCGGTAAGAGCGCGAATTGGGGAGAAATTTTTCGTTTTTGCAATCGTTGGCAATCGGCGACTATAAAAATGAGTCACCGCGCGGGGCTCGAATAATCGCGTCTTCTCTTCCCGAATTGTCCACTTTTGTGCACAAGCTGAAGAGAAATCAGGGAGTATTTACTGTACACTGTTACTCGTATTTCCATAATCAGTGTTTTCGAAAGCAAAATCTCCGAGATAATTAATTAATCACGAATTAATTGCGCGTTGCACATTCGCGCGCGCACAAATGCATACGTTGTTCGGCGCGCATCGCGAGAAAGGTAAATATTTCAGGGGACTGCTAAGTTACACGCATTCGGTTAGATCTCTTTGGAATCATCTTCACGCTTTAGATTCAATTTCGCGCGCCGCGTCGACCGAGCATTAATTAGAAAATACGTTCCCTTTTCAATCATTTCCACGGACCGAAATGACGCGCATAAAAACCATCTACGATCCAAAACGAACACGACGGCGCGATAAACGTTATTATACAATTTTATTTCGATGTGATACAAACAGACGAATAAAACATGATTAAACAGAGAGCGACGGTGGTCCTAGATTAGTCCAGGGGACAAGTTTCCACGATCTTGTCATAGCCGGTTCGGTTCTCCAGGGAGGAAGAGGGATCACTGCCGCGACCATTACTTTCCTGCTGACATATTCATCGTCCGGGTTCGTCGCTCACGGAATATCCTTGTCAGCTGTATCGATCGCGGCGTACTCGAACGGAAATGCAAACGTGAACGTGAACGTGAACGTGAACGTGAATATGAACGTGAACGTCTCTGGTAGCCTGGTCCGTCAATGGTGCGCCGGATAATCTGCGTACCAGCTGAAAGCTCCGTTCGATCCGGTGTACCCGCCGAAATCCACGTAATCCAGAATCGGATTAACGGACCTTTCGAAACGCGGGCCCTCCGGATCGTCCTGATGATGATTACTCGGAGCCGGGGCCGGTACGTAGCCGTCGGTATGCCGGGCGATCCTCGCCACGACCGGACTCAGCTCGATCACATCGATCCCGTCCACAGGTATAGCAATGTAACGACGGCCCGCCGAGGCTCCGTAGACGCCGCACAAAAGAATCAATGTTACAGTCTGAAATAGCGTGACAGCGAGATTTAACGCATCGTTGCCGGGGAAGTCAGGCATTCAAGGGAACGAGAAGCCCTTCCGCGCGCGCCGTGAATCGCTTCATTGACGTACACGAGCCGCGCCGTTTTATTCGGCAAATTATGCGACAAGCTGTTGAATGCTAACCCCTTCGATCGCACGACGAATTACAGAAAAATTCACCCTAATTTCCCTTCGGCTTGTCGACTAAAATAGACCGTTTGGCAAGTGGAGATACGATTACGGTAATTTCTCACCCTAATTCGCGCTCGGATCGCGCAGAAAAATGGACAATTTGCGCGCGATCCGAGCGCGAATTAGGGGAAATTACTGTCTTCGAGGCTTTATAATTGTTGGCGCCTCGTTTTTATAATTGTTGACGATCGCGAAGTATAAAAATTCGGTGATCGGATGGATATCTCCTCGAACGCGACGTCGCGCGGAATTGTGAAAAGCGTTCTTTTTTTTCTTTTTAAAGGCTGTCAGGAGTTTCTCGCAGAGCTGTGCTCGAACGAGGCGTCATTGGTCGCACAGTTCACGGCACGTTGATCTTCTAAAAATAACTATTTTGTTATGGTAAATACTTTAAAGGCTGAACGTTCCCTTGACTGAGCAATCGAATGGGTAAAAGTTAACTCCCGAACGGAGAATGTTTCACTTTTACGCGGTCAAAAATCACGGGGAACGACGACTGATAAACGTTCTATTCGCAACGGTTATGATCATTTCAATATGCGCGCGATTCTATATTTCTTGCGGAGAACGATCGTCTTTTCTTTTATTTAAACGAAAAGATACTTTGTAAATGTTACGAACTGTAACTTATTTCGATGAAATCTTCGAAGCGTGACACACGATCTGCTCACAAAAAACAAACTAGAACTTCTCTCACTTTTCTGACACGATATCAATCGAGTAAATTGTATTTGAAATATCAACAGTGACGTTAAATTTCCTTCGAAAATGGTTAAATTATCTAAGAAAATAAATTCCACTCGATTCTATGGATTCTTCGCCGCGTATTATATATATTTGAAAAAAGCTTTTGAAATTTTTAATCATTTATCGCCGCGTCGTTGGTAGCGGCGATAATAATGCGATCGCAGACTGTGATACGTCGAAAGAAGAAACAGAAAGATTCGATTTACCAAATTACTCATGATCGGAACGGTTGTTGCTGTCGTTCGTCGAGATATTCGTCGGACTGTTGAGCGTGAACGGTGTTTGCAACGTTTTATACTGTTTCGCTTGGCCATAGTTTTCTCGTCTTTTTCCGATCACCGAGCACCGGTTGGCTCCTAAACGACGGCAATCACTGACAGCACTCTCGGCACTTTTTTCCTACTTAGTAATTGCTTTATTCCAGACCGATTGTCTTATCGAGGATCGTCGCGACCGCAACGACTGTCGGCCGTTGCTTCTCATTCATTTCTCTGCTTGAGGCAAGGTTGAGTACTGTTTCATTAGTCCGGCTAAATCTCTGTCGTTCGAGTAAGTCCCTCGTGAAATTCCAGAGGCTCGCGGACCGACAAAAATGCGAAGGATTTTCCTATACACTGTCATCATGTGCTATAATATTCATACTATATTTCACAGCTCGATTTAGTCTGCTGAGAATCCAGAGAATGCATTCGATAACTATGCCTGCGCGGCAGACTTTCTGTCTGCTGCCCATTGCCTCACCTAATTCCTAAAGAAAACTGTCCCAATCGCCCGGTAGAATGGTCGCGGCGATATTATAAATAATAAAAAAAAGTCCTGCGCGAGCACGTTCCTCGGAGAATGTAAGATCGATGCCCCATTCGAAATCCATCGTTCGTCGAATGATCAAAATAATCTCTACTCACCGTACCAGCGAAGCAGCTTCCGGTACCGTTCCTTCCTCTTCCTCCGCGTCTGCGAAGGCTCTGCCCTGGGTTTTTTGCGGTCGCCCGAACGGTTCCGACTTTTACTCGTTGACAAGAGGCTCCGAAAAACCGTTCGCCTGGTAGCGAGATGCCGTAATCCGAGAAAGCAGCAGGAGAGACGGATCAAGTGAAAGGAAATGATGATTTAGGTTTCCGTTAGAGGCCGGCGGGCCAATAGCCGAGAGAGTGAACAACTTCATTCCCACGAGTAAATATCGCAGAGTCTCCAGAGTATCCAGAAATACACAAATAATCAGATCTTCTACAGAAATGTTCGATTACGCGCTTTCTCTTCTCGATCTAACCAGGAGATCCGACATTGCGTCACAGTCAACTATACCAATTACGAGCGTTTGCCAAAGTAATCGTTATCGCTGGAAGTACTATTCAGCTAAAAAGCTACGAAAGCTGTGCTCGCTTTTCTCGTTCGCGAAGTAACAAATCGTTTGCCGGATTCGGGTAGCACGATAGCATCGTTTATTTTACAAAAATATACATCTGTAACGGTTACCTGTTCTAATAGCATAAAAAAGGCCCACGGGCGGTGATTGTTCTTATTCTGCTCTTAAGGAACGCGGCAAGATGAATTGTTTTATTTAAGGCGATTTACTTAAGTGATCGCGAAGTACGGTCGTTTAAAATATACCCAGAACTTTTGTATACCATTTTACCAGAAACTTATCCTTGTATAGTTCTATCCGAAAGCATGGGTTTTCACCGCTGAATTCTGCTTATATAAAGTCTTTAATAAATAAATATTCGAGTCCTATTGTCTTTACAAGCGCTATCGAATATTGGAATTATTGTTCATACGAAGCATTCGACAAAGAATTCGTCGGACAGTGACACCAGTGTTATGGGTATTTACGTTATCCCGTTGGAACACTACTTACTAAAAATAAAAACAAAACAAAAAATGAATTAGCGAAATACTTCTAAATTGGAAGCAAGCATACCAAGAACTAAAATGAAAGACACTTTCTAAAATAGGTCATAAAATACTTGGAAGTACGTATTGGGAAGACCCTGATAAACAGTTGCTATATTATGCATTGATGTCTAGAAGATTTATAATACTTCTCAACAGTGGCGTATTGTTAAGCAGTATTTACGGCTTAACCGGAGATATGTATCATAAAAGAAACAAATAAAATTGAATATTTAAATGTAACAATGTGTACGGTGTGTATGTATATACATGGTATTTTCTTACAAATGGCATTAGTAGATAAGAGAATATTCCGTTTATAATATTAAAATAAAACAGTTGCAGAAGACTGTAAGACACGAATGGTATTCGGAAACAAATACTGTAAAAATAGACTGTGTAAATGTAAGCTAAGGAACAATCCATAAGACAGAAATCTTGTAGACACCAGTAAAAACGTGTACTCTACTTTGATAGGGCCTCGGTAATTATAGTATGCTTGAAGAAAGTGAATTCACCCCAGTTCTAGGTCGTTCGAGTCGTCGGAGAAATCACTCTCGTATCCGGCAGGAGCGACTCGCACCACGATTTTCGTGTTCAAAGAAGTGTCAGATGGTATATTATACTGATTTCCGCCGCTTCCGTTTCGCAGGTGGTCGCCGCTGTCTTTTCTCTCGTTCTCAATGAAGCTGCCCGTTTCGATCTTCACCGGTGTAACGAGATCGATTTCCTCGACCTGATTTACGGGTCTCTGCAAGCAAAAAATTAAGAGGGTATAGCCGCTGAAAAATCGATTCGTATCGCATGTTTTCGTAGATCGCGAGAGAGGTTGCTTACCCTTGGCGTGGCCGTATTTATTTCCTCTATCGAGGAGGACCTATCGATGTCTACAGTCGCGTTCAGCGTCGACGACAGCATCTCGACGCTCGAATCCATTTTCTGCGAAGAATTTGCTGGGATTTTCGTCGAAGCTCGCTTCTCTACCGAAGCTGCGGACGAGGGGCGGGACGTGGATCGACTGGATAACAATAAAGGTTCTACCGCGTCCGCCAGGCCCTCGTTTATCAGTTCCAAAGCGACATTGATATCCTATGAACATTACAAGAGACATCGTCTTCGTTCGAGCAACAAGTAAATTGGTCGCGATGCTGTATGGACCGCTAAGTTTTGTTGTTGTTGTACAACGACATACCTTATCGTCGTCTTTATCGAAAAGATCGAGGCAGTAGACAGTCACTTCACGCTGAGATTCTCCATAGGTGCGAATCCGATCTTTGTACCCTTCAATTTTAGCCGTCAGAATTTTCCACTGTGCCAGCGAAGTAAGTTCAGCGAATCTCTCGCACGCTTGAACGCTCCAACAGCCCACCTCCCTGAAGCAAAACAAAATACGAGGAACTAATTAGAAATTTCCTTCAACTAGAAAAGCTTCTCGTTATAAAAGAGAGATCGAGTTTTCATGGTAAAGAAACGATTTTGGGTTACAAGAAGCTAAGGAAAACGTATGAATCAAAAAATGTATGGATTAGCATGATGTGCATAGCAATGTATCACAATGTGCTGGAATTCGTCCAAGACCGTCATTCTGTTACTTTATAAATAATGGTCTTCGCTACGAGATATCGATTAATTTAATAAAACTATCTGTTCTTTGAAAGTTACGAAATAATTATCCAGATAATGTCCCGAAGTTACGGCCGCTAATAAATAATGAACGATCTCCGGCGCGATATATTTTTAATCCGGAAACATAAATCTTCGCGAAACGTTATCAAAAATGCTACGGAAATGTTCGGGTTCATTGTTGGCAGGAATAAAGCAACAAACTGCGAAATTGGCGGTGCGTGGCGTAATAAATTTGTTCATCAATTGGCAACAATAGGGGCGTATTATGATCCAACACGGTTCGCTATAGCTGTTCAAGAGTGTGACAACAAAATTTCTGGCATGCGGTTGATCACGATCGCTCGACTTCGAATAACGCGATGCACTTTGCAGAAATGACTTTTTTTTTCTCCCCCCCTCGCGAATATTCCAGAGAAGCTGCGATATCGTCTATCGCTAAAACACGAAAGCCAACAATTATTCATGCTTGCAAATGGAAATACCCCGGTAAGCACTTTGGGGACGTCTTGTTCCATTTATAAACGGTGCAGCACAAGTGTACACGTGCGAGGAGACGATGCAGGCGATGCCCGTAGACCCTCGTTTAGCAAACCGACGGTCTCAGTCGTTCCTTAGTTCTCGTGCCGAACAATATAACAGACAAATCCCGCAGGGAACAACATTGACATTGTCGAAGTAACCAGTCCTACGAGTCGATCATTGACACGAGAGTATCGTTTCTCTCGTTTAACGTGAAGCGAAGAAAGCCGAGTTCATTGTCGCATCCACCTATCGAGACGAAAAAGTGATCTAAATTCGGAATTAAAAGGAACTCGCGTATAAAGGCAAGAGCTACGAGAGTGCCGAGATTATTTTATTACGCGGGTGACACCGTGCGATAATTCTCTAACGAAAGAGCCACTTGCTTTCTTCGGTCGACGATACTTTTCCGTAAGTACCCGAGTACTCATTTATTTCGCGGCAATCGTTTGATACGCGAACGTGTAACTGTGTGTCAAGTGGGGTTGTCGGTGTCAAAAGAGAAAGCACTGACCTGTACACCGTTACGCGATTGCGTGAATTAATTAAAAAAAAAGAAAAAGAAACGAGGTCTTCAAAGGATTGAATTATTGGAAAGTTTCCAGAAGGTCGAAACCACGTTGGCAGTATTCTCTGCGGGGATGAATATTGTCATTTTACTTTGAGACACGGTGTGCGAGATGGTATTCCAATATTTAAGCAATTGGCATATCTAACGAGCAATTAGGTCCAATAAAATTAGGTCTCTCAACGATTATTGATAAGGTCGGCAAACTGACGATAGGTTTAATGGGTTTTAAGCTTGCATTAAGGCGCGCAAGGGACACGCGTTACTTGCAACGAAACTATATAACACGAGGTGTATGTACTTGGAGTTTCATATTATGTTCGCGTTATCACATTACTTAATATTTCAAATCCTAAAAGTGCACTGTTTTTAAACGAACGAGAAAAATGATCGCTTTTGCACCAAGCTCGATGTCGTTCGTTTCAATACGATGAAAAATTCAATGTTACGTTCGCGAAGTTCTTTCGCGAGCCTCGAAGTTCACATCAAAGTTACACCGAAGTTTACACCTTCGAGCAAAATTACGTAGTTTTGAACCATTTCCAAGAATGCGTTTGTTTCCTCAATATATATATATTTGGCGGAAAACCACCGGGTTGTCTGTCACTTTCAAGAGATGTTGGTTACAGTTAGAAATTAGAAGGAAGTATCTTCGATCTGGTACGTATACATAGATTTCTGAAAACGGAAAGTGTCCAACAGTTCGCTCGAATAGTATGCAAGTAGCTTGGCAGACAGTCACGCGACAAAATGCCTCGTGTCATAATCTGGAGCCACCTTAAAGTTTTGTTGACATCTAAATTCCTTTCTAGAGATCAAACATTTTATGCATAGAAACCGATTATTATCAATTTAATGTGTTCGCGACTGTTTCGGAATTACGTTGAACTAGATATTAACCCTTTGCACTCGAATAGCGACTCTGAGACGCCAATACATATTGGTATACTATTTTTCAAAATCATTCTAAGAGCATCAGACTCGTTTATATTTTAAAAAAAAGCTATTAGAATTGCATTGTACTTGCCAATAGACTCAATTTCATATGCATAAATTGCAATAAATTATACATATAAAATAAAAATACTGTAGATCAGAGATCATGTTTTAGATTTCGAATTCAAATAGCTTCGACTGCAAAGGGTTAAAAGAACATTTTTTTACTCCTGTAGAAATAAAAAAGATAAATGTACGTACATATCTTCGAAAAATTAGCAGAATCTAAAGTGATTTTTCTATACGTAATATATTTTCGATTTCAAAAGATCGTTACAACGAAGGAAGCCGTCGTAACTGCGTTTTAATAATATTAATATTATTCATAGGTTTTTAATGGTCCCTGCGTCGATAATAGAAATAATTCTCGAGATCGTCGGCCGTCTCCAATTAAGGGCCGTTTAACGCGATTACCCAATTTGCCGGCGCTCTTTTAAATTGCCGGTACGCGGATCTTAACGTCGCCAACAAGTTTCATAAATTCATTTATGCCTGATGAAACTTCGTACCGCGCTCCTTTAGATCCGCAATTCCGATCGATCGAATAATTATATTAACTGGTCGCAATTCCGCGTAGATTGAATCGAGATAATCGCGCGGCAACCATTCAGGAAACCCAAGCAATTAGGGAGCCCAACTGTTTCTAGTTCATCGTCGCTGCGAACCCCATTCGGAATTATATATGATTAATTAAAGTCTTTCGACGCCTTCGTTTTATCGCAAATGCATAAAACGTCTAACGAGTGCGTAAAACGCATAAAAAATTCCCCACAACATCAAAACCGGATAGTTGAGCCATAGTGGCTGTTAGCGTGATTCTTTTGCGTTCGAGAGATCCTAACAACATTCTGTTCGTTCGAATATATCGCGACGAGGACGGACGTCAAAAGTCGGTGAAAAAGAAAAACGATCGACGCGGCACTAAACGTGTTAAAATGTTTCACGTGCGTGCAGTCAAACAGCAGCCACGCACGCGAAATTCGCAGATTCGAGCGTAACGGGATGTGTACAAAGGAAATATTGTTTTGAAGTGGTCTGCGGGTTTCTGGCAACGAGGTACTTCTCGGGATATGCCCTCGAAAGCCGCCGTGTCGCGTGTAACCGACAACCGTAGTAGGCTTCGCGGTAATTCCAATTCGAAAACCATCATGTGTGCATTACTTGCACCGGCGATTAGCTGTTTCACGGCACGCGATGCGAGGAGTCCCGGCATTCGGTCGGATTGATTATATTCGCATTCGACTGCTACCTGCCGAGAAATCTATTAGGGCCAAGCCGTGTAATTGCATTTTATGCACACTTGCGCCGCGACTTTTTACGAAACGCGGACCAAAGAGGTCTACCTAAAAAAAATGTATCAATTAATAAACAACTGCCCGGAGGGTGTCGTTTCCGAGAGTCGTTACACACNGATCTGGTACGTATACATAGATTTCTGAAAACGGAAAGTGTCCAACAGTTCGCTCGAATAGTATGCAAGTAGCTTGGCAGACAGTCACGCGACAAAATGCCTCGTGTCATAATCTGGAGCCACCTTAAAGTTTTGTTGACATCTAAATTCCTTTCTAGAGATCAAACATTTTATGCATAGAAACCGATTATTATCAATTTAATGTGTTCGCGACTGTTTCGGAATTACGTTGAACTAGATATTAACCCTTTGCACTCGAATAGCGACTCTGAGACGCCAATACATATTGGTATACTATTTTTCAAAATCATTCTAAGAGCATCAGACTCGTTTATATTTTAAAAAAAAGCTATTAGAATTGCATTGTACTTGCCAATAGACTCAATTTCATATGCATAAATTGCAATAAATTATACATATAAAATAAAAATACTGTAGATCAGAGATCATGTTTTAGATTTCGAATTCAAATAGCTTCGACTGCAAAGGGTTAAAAGAACATTTTTTTACTCCTGTAGAAATAAAAAAGATAAATGTACGTACATATCTTCGAAAAATTAGCAGAATCTAAAGTGATTTTTCTATACGTAATATATTTTCGATTTCAAAAGATCGTTACAACGAAGGAAGCCGTCGTAACTGCGTTTTAATAATATTAATATTATTCATAGGTTTTTAATGGTCCCTGCGTCGATAATAGAAATAATTCTCGAGATCGTCGGCCGTCTCCAATTAAGGGCCGTTTAACGCGATTACCCAATTTGCCGGCGCTCTTTTAAATTGCCGGTACGCGGATCTTAACGTCGCCAACAAGTTTCATAAATTCATTTATGCCTGATGAAACTTCGTACCGCGCTCCTTTAGATCCGCAATTCCGATCGATCGAATAATTATATTAACTGGTCGCAATTCCGCGTAGATTGAATCGAGATAATCGCGCGGCAACCATTCAGGAAACCCAAGCAATTAGGGAGCCCAACTGTTTCTAGTTCATCGTCGCTGCGAACCCCATTCGGAATTATATATGATTAATTAAAGTCTTTCGACGCCTTCGTTTTATCGCAAATGCATAAAACGTCTAACGAGTGCGTAAAACGCATAAAAAATTCCCCACAACATCAAAACCGGATAGTTGAGCCATAGTGGCTGTTAGCGTGATTCTTTTGCGTTCGAGAGATCCTAACAACATTCTGTTCGTTCGAATATATCGCGACGAGGACGGACGTCAAAAGTCGGTGAAAAAGAAAAACGATCGACGCGGCACTAAACGTGTTAAAATGTTTCACGTGCGTGCAGTCAAACAGCAGCCACGCACGCGAAATTCGCAGATTCGAGCGTAACGGGATGTGTACAAAGGAAATATTGTTTTGAAGTGGTCTGCGGGTTTCTGGCAACGAGGTACTTCTCGGGATATGCCCTCGAAAGCCGCCGTGTCGCGTGTAACCGACAACCGTAGTAGGCTTCGCGGTAATTCCAATTCGAAAACCATCATGTGTGCATTACTTGCACCGGCGATTAGCTGTTTCACGGCACGCGATGCGAGGAGTCCCGGCATTCGGTCGGATTGATTATATTCGCATTCGACTGCTACCTGCCGAGAAATCTATTAGGGCCAAGCCGTGTAATTGCATTTTATGCACACTTGCGCCGCGACTTTTTACGAAACGCGGACCAAAGAGGTCTACCTAAAAAAAATGTATCAATTAATAAACAACTGCCCGGAGGGTGTCGTTTCCGAGAGTCGTTACACACGTGAGCTCCAACCCCTTCGGTCCGTTCGTGTAAAAAACAGTTCTAGCATGTTACAGAAAAAAACTTCGAGCCGATATATTCCCCCCTTGAAGTTATTTTCAAATTTGAGAACATTATTCATAACTTAGCCAGTTATATTGCCGGGCGTAGTATATTTTTAATGCGTTCAGCGTCGCACCTGTATACGTTTTTAACAAGCATAATGTCGCAGAGGACTGTGTTATCGATAACAACAGCTAGTTGTTACTCTTGCGGGATTTTTATGAATTTTTCTCGTTCGTTGTTTAAGATCGTCGCGTGCAAGCCACGCGTTAATTTCAAATTGTTCCACGGGATCCGCCATCGTTTTATGAAATCGTTAGCACGGTCTAACGCATTCATTCTAATCGCGCTGACAAAAGTCGCGGCGAAGTGAAATGTGATTTTCTGGAACGCCGAGAATTCTTGTTAAATAAAGGTAAATTGAGAATGAAGATTGGCATCACGCCATACATAGAACTGTTCCTTGCCGTTGAACTTGCACCTCGTAAAGCTCCCCCGACGACGGTGCATGCTAATGTCTGGGAGTTTAATAGCGGCGAAACATTTTGCGCACTTTCGCCAAAGCTTTATCGTGACTGCACACAGCGATTATACTGCGCCATGGAAGTTACTTTTGTTTCGCGACCGCTAAATTGGCAGAAAATCGAAAGTAGGAATTATGAAACTCAAGGAACAAGCCGAACAAGACGTTACACTGATTTCTACGAGATTTGAATCATTGCGGCGGAGATGCGATTCTTCGACAATATTTATGACGATCCTAAGCGAACCCCAAACAGCCTTTGAACGATCAAAATTATTTTTGAAATTATCGGAACGAAAGGAAACCTCAGAAAAAATATGTTAACTGCAATAGTCACTTGAGAAGTTCTAACGTCATCTTATGGTTAGAAGAAGCTACGAAAAAATTCAAAATTTCTATTAAGTGAACACTCTCGAAAGATGTTTAAGTAATGGATTAGAAAACAATTCGTTTGAACGTGCTGGTTTTAAACGTGAATTTCCTTGTTTACGATAGGTCTATTTGTTGATATAAGATTGTTATAAAATGGAACTACTTGTGCCAACTGTGTCCGACGTGATCTTTAAGTATACATGGCCAATTCCACGTTACAAGAAATCTATTTCGAAGAAAACCTTCATCGACAGCCCTTCGTTTAACACAAATGTGAATGATATTCAGTGTTCCTGGAATTTATCCATCAGATTCTGGAAGGATCCGGACGGTAAGAGAAATATAATATTATAATGTGAACATATATAAAAATGTATTCTGGAGTTCGCTAAAGCGAGATAAGGTAAAAGAAAAAGAGAATAAGTCACGATTTTTATAAACATCGTGACCTAGATTAAAATAATAAATATAAAATCAATAAGGATGACCCTGCTGGTGTGACCTGTAGTGCACGTTACGTTAATTCTTAATATTACCATTTTAAAGGCACATCCAATACTTTTAAAAGATCTCCATACTTTTCTCGACGTTTCGTATTTTAACAATATAGTTTTACAAAACGATATGTGAATTAATTGCCACACAAATATTTGAAAGATAATGTGTTGCTTCTAAGTAAATACCATAAAAATCTAGGAACACTTAAGGGTATTAATACTATTTGCTTGTACTAACTAAGTTGCCAGTACCAATTAAACAGAGGAATTAAACTGTTTCACAACAGGTAAAAGAATAAAGAATCCTGTAGTCCTATGTTTGAATATGCTAACCTGTAGTATAAATGAAGTAGAACAAGCGAAGATACGATTTCAATTTGGAATCTTCAATGCTGACTTAAAGAATTGGGAGTACTGCCATGTCAGCAGAACTGTACTAGAGTTAAAATCGTGCACTGACATTATTTCTCTGGGATACAGAGATTTGTCTATAGTCGATAGACATTTGAACAAAAACGGCGAAGCTCTGGTGATGGTCAAGATACAGATAATCCAGTGCGAAAGCGAAAAGTACAGTCTGTCACAGGTAAATGTTCCTAATAAATATTTTTAAAACAACACTATCAAAATTGTTTCTGTTTAAAATACTTTAGTAGCGTTTCAATAATCAATAGATGAATCTTGTAAATTTTAACGCATTAAATACAAATATGAAGCCCATGTTTACATTTTATAGGATATGGCCAGATTATTGAGGCATCCACATGGTGCTGATACTAAATTAATTTGTGGAGGTTTGAGCAGCACAGAAATTCCAGTCCACAGTAACATAATAGCTGCACGAAGCAGTGTTTTAGCTGAAATGATTTCATTATTAGGCGAACCACAAGTAAAGGAGAATTCAAATCTGAATACAGCGGAAGATAAAATTTTGAATTCACAAGATCCAACAGAAGAAAAGGTGATCAAGAGAAAGAATATATGTAGTGTTGATTTTGATTGTCCACTGATTAAAAATATGACCAGACTAAAAATCAATTAAAATGTTGTAAATGCTAAACAAGTATTATTGACAAATAATTAACTAACTGATGAAGTAATAATATAGTATTGATAACAAGTGATGTTTATAAAATCATTAATATGAATATATGCATTTCATTTTATTTTGCTACACTTATAAAGCAAACAATATTAGTTTATGTATTCAATAAATTTGTTGCACTCAAACTGCAGATACTCACGCTTGTATAAAATTAATTAACGTGATGTTCAATAGCTTAACGTAATTTATTTATGTTGAACTAGCGTAATAAACGTAAAATTACTAATTTTACGTAATTTTTTTTATGAATGTTGTTATTTTATTACTTTATGGGTGAGTATTCTCTTACTAAGATTTATTTTCGGGCATACAAATATGCAAAAATTATGGAGATATTAAAACTTTTATAAATATTTGTAGGAGCAATATAAATTTGTCCTAGAACTATTAGATTTGTGTAAAGACGTTACAGAAGAACTATTGCGATATATATATACTGATCACGTTGATAACTTAGATAATTTAGCTCCTCAACTTTTGTCTCTAGCAGAGCGTTTCTCTCTACAAGGTATGTTGTAAAATATAATTAATAATTAAATATGTTATAAGTTTACACATGTAAATATTTCACAGGATTGAAAGAACTCTGTGAAAGGAATCTCATTGAATCGATAAATCCAGAAAACATTGCAAGCAGACTACTAGTTGCTGATGAATTTCGATGCGGTGCCCTTAAAAGAGCAAGCTTAACATATTGTGAAGAAAATATAACTATACTTAATAAAAGTTTAGCATGGAAAATGATGGAACATGTAAACCCAGAACTGTTCAATGAAGTATGCGAAGCTAGTATAGGAAGTTCAAGATCAAGTAATATGGATGACAGTGAATTAAGCAATTAACATTATAAATGCTACGAATACCTGTAAATAATTCTTCACGATTTTATATTTTTAGAAGAAAAGTATATATATTGTGAAAATACATATTTTGATAAATGATTTGAATTTTGAATGCTTTTATCAACTTTCATTTTACGAACGCATATAAAAACAACTGTAAATATAGTTAAAGAAAAATTATATTATATGAAATATTAAAACTTACCTCGGTTTAACATTATTCAAACAGCATTCCATTGCTTGCGAGGCCAAACTTAGAAAGTCTAGTCGAATATCTAATATGAATTCAAACTGAACCACATCGAGATCTCCATAATCCATAAAAAATACTTCACACTCATTATCTTCAGGTGAAACTGATATAATGTGAGCTCTATACCATTTTTCATCATAATTGAATTTTGCTACACATACTTGTCCGGGTGTTATCTGAAGCAAAATAATATAATTTTTCATTTATACTGTTTTTTATTTTTAACTAATGATTGAATGTATATACTTACATCTTTTAGTTTATGTAACTCACGATTTTGTTCTTCATTGTAATAAGCAGTCATGTCAGACACTAATTTGTCTAAAGCTGTAGTTCCCCGACCAACAATTTGAACCCAGAATTTGTTAGGACTTTCCATTGCAGATACATATACTTCCATTATACCATCAGTACCTGAAATCGAACCTTTTATATTATTAACAGTTAGGTATCAAATGTTAAAGTTATTAATTATAAATTTTTTTTAACACAAACCTTGTAATGACAAGGATTCATTGGATTGTGAATGTTTAATCGTTTGAGTGGGCAACTTTACTGCAGAAGAAGATTCCAATTTTCCAAATAACTCCTTCTTTGCAATTTCTTCATCTTTACTTTCTTCTTTAAATTTTTTAACTATCTCCTCAATTTGTAATAAAGCAGCAGCAATTTGTTCAGCAGTTCCTTTTATTATAATCCTCCTTTCAGCATCTAAAAGTTGCTAGTATCAGTTATTATCATTTTACGAAAGTAAACTCACAAACAAATGATACTTCATGAAAGTAACATACTTTGTAGATAAGAAACACAGCTTTCAATTATGATTTTTGCACCCGTAATGGTTTGAATTTTTTGTATAGTTTCTCCATTTCTTCCTAATATCTTTGAACATGCTTTATTTGGTACAAATATTTCATATATTTCAATAATAGGTTGATTGTCAATTATCGACTTTATCATTTCTTGAGCCAATTGCGTGTTTTCATAAAGGCCTCTTATAAGGCAAATACGATTTGGAGATTCAAGATCATCTTCCTTAAAATATATTCGTGTTCCTGTTTTCTTTTCCACTTCTTTTATTACGCATCCACCTCTTCCAATAACAGCAGGTACAACATTTCTAGGTACTTTATATTCCACTGCTACTCTTTTTAAAAAAGCTACATCGTTTTTTCTGGCAGCCGAATCTTCCTCGTCCTGTTCAATCAGATAAATGATGAAATTATAATATTGGTTTGCATAAAAGAAAAAAATTTGTAACCATACCTTTTTGTATAACAAGTATATCACAGCAATGCTAACACTTGTTAGAGAAATGCCAAGTAAAATTGGTAGCGTGAAATGCGATGACGACCACTTCATTTTCTGTATTAATGTCTAAATTGAGATATTTATTTTGTACTTCCTACTCAAACGCACTTTAATCTCTACTTAAATGTACACAGAACATGCTTTCGAGTTGTTATGATTGGAATGTTCCATAACCTCATATAATGTCTTCTATAAACCGGTTATATATATATATATACTGTAGCATATGAAAAACACGATCAAACGTTTTCAGAAACTTAAATAAACTTTTAAGAATGTTTCTAACTAATTTTATATAAATATTCCGTCGATTTGCAAATATTATATATATTTAAGTCCAGACCAGAATTTGTACTTTTGAAACCATATTTTTACCAACTGTATAACTGCAAATCTGTTACAGTATGGTTGTAAATGAACAATCTAACTTTACATAATACACAGGAATTACTAGCGAAGGATAACTATTGATTAAATACATAAATGTAGCTAAATAACATATAATATCAAATAATATATACGAAACACAAATGTAAACTATAACATTACATATCTTTATTTATGTTGGTAGTACTCTAAAAGAGATCTAACGTCATAGCCAGTGTTTTCTTTTGCCGGTGTCATAGGGGAGAATCCCTCGTGTCCGCACTTCCCCCTGACTAGTGAACAAACTGAAGTGGAGTGATAGAGGGGATTGTCGATCCTCGATTTCCCCAACTGTGATGCGCCTGCGCAGACACGACGTGCACTAGGCATCGTAGCAAGATGGCGCAATCGTGCATAAGTCAGCTTTTTGTTACACGGTTCATTCCCTCCACTTCGGTAGTCGTTTTTAGTAGGAGTGGGTGATTTGGTGATGACTTCGAGGAGCGTGGGGACGCGAGGGATGCCCCTACGAAGCCGGACAAATGGAAACACTGGCTTGAATGCCGTAAATATGGCGAAAGCAGCAAGAATCATTCGTTACGGTGCCCTAGTGCGCATAGTGTCGGCGCAAGCGCATCGCAGTTGGGGAAACCGACAATCCCCACCATTACTCCCCTTCAGTTTGCCGACTATCCAGGGGCTAGAGCGGATGCGAGGGACGCCCCTATGCTAAGGTTAGGATATGACGGCTAATTCAAATGACTTTGTTTACACTACCGATTAAGTATCATGTAGTAGTGAGCGTTTTTTTTCAGAATTGCGTAGATAAAATAATCGATTTGAGAAGTAAAAGTTTATCCAACATATACCGCTAAGAAATGAATAAAATACCAACGGTAATATAATTTTGAAATCTGCCGAGCTTCTACATTTTCAACTTTTACTTAGTATTGTAAAACAACGAACAGTTAAGTAACAATATTTGTTGGCTTTTATTCATTTAATGTGACATTAATAATAGGGTTTCATGTTTTCTTCCACGAACGTGACAATTAAGTATTATTTTCTGCAACGTAACACTTGATAAGAAAATGTGGTTTACATATACAACAATTACATACATATAACAGGATATTGTGGTTACCGTTGAAAAAAGAAATTATTCGATACTTTACCTTTCTTGTTATTGACAATTTAATCTTGAACGTTCTCGTTCTCGTTCTTAGAACTTATTTTCTCGTTTCGTATAAATTTATAAAATTTTCTTGCGAATAAACATTAAAAAATCGTATGCGATGTAACGTTAAAATGTACTGCAATTTTTCGTGAAAACAATACATAGTAAGTAAGACCTTGTGTAACGAGAATACAAATATGTAATACATTACATACATGTAGTTTTTACACTGATCTGCTGCAAACTATTATGCTCTTTCTCAGTTATTATGTTTCCCTAGTCCGTAAAGACGCCATTTTCTACGAATGATGGACAAGCTTCACGCAAGCTTATCAGTTATGAATTAGACATTCAGAGTTGATTCTGCAAATAATTTCTGTAAGAAAAAGTTACAAAAATGACGCTATCAGAAGTTTCAGTTTTCACATAATTTGCATAAAAGTACATACATACATATATGTATATGCAATCGATCACGAAAAATTTACGTACCTTACAAATATCGAATGAAAGAAGAGCAAGAACTGTGAATATTTTACAAACATTCGTATATTTCTTATTAACTTTAGAACAAAAATAAATGCCACACGTGAAATTTCAAGCACAGAGATGCATTGCAAGGATGCATTAAATACTTATTAATTTGCTTTACGAATGAAACATGTGGAAAGAAAACTAATTACACGACACTGTAGAGCATAGCTCCGACCTAAGAATGGCATTGGTAAACTTTACAAATTCCGTTTGCTTTTCAAAGTAGCATACAAAAAATAACGACTTCGCAAGGTGCGTGATGGCGACAGTGGTGCTCAACGGAGGCGCGATGATCATTTTTCGGTCGATCGGTGCGGTAGAACTATGCTATTATGCGAGCATCTTTTACTATCGTATTCTTTGAGAATAATATTACGTATCCTGTTTTATGATATTTAGGAAAGAAACTTTAATTTCTTTGAAGATTCTGGGGAAAAAGTTGTTCCTTCCTGAGAAACTATTTTCGATTCCAAGGATTTTTCTATTTACCTTTTTTGTCGGGCGTGACCACACCGTGTTTATAACTTTCAAGTGTCATTATCTTCGGAATGAGTCAAGCGTGCGCCACATATCTGATATCGTTGTTATGTAATGCGGTAAATTTCACGCATATATAGGTACCTAACTGTTACGAGAGGTTTTGTAATGTGCAAAAGAGCCGCGATGAAACCACATGTACTGGTGACAAGTAACACTGTGCCATCAGAAGGCATTGACTTGCTTCGCACAAAGTAAGCACAGTGTCATATAGTACAATAAAACTTTTACAATTTTCTCTGGTTATATAAATAACGAATATATTAGGTCTACCGGAAAGTTCTGTCCGTTTGAGAAATGAAAGGAAAAATAATAGATTTCTCATAAATTTAGTAATATTTATTGTACAATATAATTTCCGTTCGTTACTTATGTCCTCTTGCCAGCGTGATGGCAATTTGTGAGCAACATTTTTCAAAAATATATGTCTCAAATGAATATGTGCATATCTATTGAAATTTGCAATGACATTATCGGACAGAACTTTCCGGTAGACCTAATAGAATAATAATTCTTTATTTTCGGCCTCGAGACCTCATATAGTACAATGAAACTTTTATATTTTCTCTCGTGATATAAATAACGAATATAGAATAATAATTCTTTATTTTCGGCCTGAGAAAACGCAATAAATATAAAAGAAATTGTATACTTGTTATTTCGTCGTCGTGAGTTCGCGCGGATTATGTAATTCTTGTTTGAAATCCGTCGAAGATATTTCATTTTTTAATTAACAATATTAATAGACGTCTAAGCGCGTTTCCTGTTTGTTTAGATGCGACGTTACGATAATCCAATCTGCGAATACCACGCGCGAAGATGTGCTACAAGCACTTCCAGGCCACGATGCGGTTCTGATCGCTGAGCACTTTAACGTGAACAGTGAATTTCTTAATATTGCAGGTATAGATGAAAACAATAGTAATTTTTCAACGAGACTTTATTGATTATGATAGCAATAACCGTTTATGTATAAAAGGAAAGTAAAATCTCGAAAATTGAAATTGATTCAAGAATTATTTTGAATTTCTATGAAAAATGTGAAAAAAAAGAAATGAATTGATAAATAGGGTCCGCGTTGAAAGTCGTTTCTACAATCTCTGCTGGTTACGATCATTTGGACGTTCCTGAAATTAAGCGAAGAGGGATCAAAGTAGGAAACACGCCTGAGGTTTTGTCTGCCGCGGTCGCCGAAATTGCAGTATTGTTACTTTTGAACGCGGCGAGGCGTACCCACGAGGGCCGCCTAAAGCTCGAACGGTAATTAACAATGAATGCGTACAATCGAATATCTGTAGTTCGCGTCACTTGAATATTTGTATGGAAAACGATGATTAAATTAGGGGAGAGGCAGGGAAATCTAATCTTCAATGGTTGCTTGGCCAAGATTTACAAGGATCAACGGTTGGTATTGTTGGATTGGGTAATATCGGACAAGCTATTGTTAAAAGACTGAAAGGATTTGATGNTTGTCGGGCGTGACCACACCGTGTTTATAACTTTCAAGTGTCATTATCTTCGGAATGAGTCAAGCGTGCGCCACATATCTGATATCGTTGTTATGTAATGCGGTAAATTTCACGCATATATAGGTACCTAACTGTTACGAGAGGTTTTGTAATGTGCAAAAGAGCCGCGATGAAACCACATGTACTGGTGACAAGTAACACTGTGCCATCAGAAGGCATTGACTTGCTTCGCACAAAGTAAGCACAGTGTCATATAGTACAATAAAACTTTTACAATTTTCTCTGGTTATATAAATAACGAATATATTAGGTCTACCGGAAAGTTCTGTCCGTTTGAGAAATGAAAGGAAAAATAATAGATTTCTCATAAATTTAGTAATATTTATTGTACAATATAATTTCCGTTCGTTACTTATGTCCTCTTGCCAGCGTGATGGCAATTTGTGAGCAACATTTTTCAAAAATATATGTCTCAAATGAATATGTGCATATCTATTGAAATTTGCAATGACATTATCGGACAGAACTTTCCGGTAGACCTAATAGAATAATAATTCTTTATTTTCGGCCTCGAGACCTCATATAGTACAATGAAACTTTTATATTTTCTCTCGTGATATAAATAACGAATATAGAATAATAATTCTTTATTTTCGGCCTGAGAAAACGCAATAAATATAAAAGAAATTGTATACTTGTTATTTCGTCGTCGTGAGTTCGCGCGGATTATGTAATTCTTGTTTGAAATCCGTCGAAGATATTTCATTTTTTAATTAACAATATTAATAGACGTCTAAGCGCGTTTCCTGTTTGTTTAGATGCGACGTTACGATAATCCAATCTGCGAATACCACGCGCGAAGATGTGCTACAAGCACTTCCAGGCCACGATGCGGTTCTGATCGCTGAGCACTTTAACGTGAACAGTGAATTTCTTAATATTGCAGGTATAGATGAAAACAATAGTAATTTTTCAACGAGACTTTATTGATTATGATAGCAATAACCGTTTATGTATAAAAGGAAAGTAAAATCTCGAAAATTGAAATTGATTCAAGAATTATTTTGAATTTCTATGAAAAATGTGAAAAAAAAGAAATGAATTGATAAATAGGGTCCGCGTTGAAAGTCGTTTCTACAATCTCTGCTGGTTACGATCATTTGGACGTTCCTGAAATTAAGCGAAGAGGGATCAAAGTAGGAAACACGCCTGAGGTTTTGTCTGCCGCGGTCGCCGAAATTGCAGTATTGTTACTTTTGAACGCGGCGAGGCGTACCCACGAGGGCCGCCTAAAGCTCGAACGGTAATTAACAATGAATGCGTACAATCGAATATCTGTAGTTCGCGTCACTTGAATATTTGTATGGAAAACGATGATTAAATTAGGGGAGAGGCAGGGAAATCTAATCTTCAATGGTTGCTTGGCCAAGATTTACAAGGATCAACGGTTGGTATTGTTGGATTGGGTAATATCGGACAAGCTATTGTTAAAAGACTGAAAGGATTTGATGTGGGCCGTTTCATTTATACGGGTCATTCCCGTAAGAAAGCAGGTATTTATCAGATTGTCAAGGATATGTTCATCACACTTGACAAAGCGACGTGACAAACATATTGTTTCTGATTTTATATAGGTGACGAGCTAGGGGCTCATTTTGTGTCGCTCGATGAACTGCTCGAGCAAAGTGACTTCGTTGTCGTCGCCGTGCCATTGACTAACGAAACGTTAGGATTATTTAATGCCAATACTTTCGGCAAAATGAAGAAGACCGCCGTATTCGTGAACGTTGGACGTGGCAAAGTCGTAAATACTGATGCATTAGTGGCGGCGCTTCGCAATCAAACGATCTTCGCGGCTGGTCTTGACGTTACAGATCCTGAACCACTGCCTCCTGATCATGAACTTCTTAAACTACCAAATGCTGGTTGGTATTACTATGCGCAATAAACAATATGGAAAGATTTTATAGAACGCTTCTGCAAAGATCACAAATAAATAATTCCTTCTAAGTAATATTATAAATATATATTATAATATTATATTGACAGAAATTATAATTTACAATTCTAAAGATTTACATATTACTTATGTATTTATTCACTATTCATAGAAATGTATAGCAAAATATGTATACATACAAATATATATATATATAAATATATATGTATATTGCAGTGATCATACCTCATTTGGGCAGTGCTACTAAGAAGACTCGACGTGATATGTCAATTACTGCGGCACAAAATATTCTCAATGGATTAGAGGGTAAGCCATTGGTGTACGAATTGTAACTTGCATTCTTTTTCACGTCTGGAGAACAAAAATGTATTGCGCAATTTAATATTATTGTTCAATTTTCAATAATATAATGACAATGATGTATTTTAATATTAATTTTTACATATATTTCATAGTATATACAATTATAAAATTTGAAGAATTTATTCTTAGGTATATATATATGTATACTATGTAGTATATATATATAAATTAAGATATGCATATTGCAAATATCAAAATGCCACAGATATACAGTAAAAATTATATTCTATTTATCGTAAAATTTTGTAATGCCTACCCCTTCGATCGCTAACTTCTCATGTAAAATTTATAATAATTTTGTTTCTTTTAACCCCTTGCACCGCTAAGACCGGATGTATTGCCAACATTGGAATCGACCACCAATGTATAAGTTTATCGTTCGGAGTGCAAAGGGTTAAATAGATAATTTCAGAAAAGAATAGAAATTCAAATTTCTTTTTATATAAGAAAATTGATATATAGTAACATTGTTCTTGTCACAAATGTTTACCACATTTAACAGCAAACTTTTAGTATTCATCACCCATAATGCACAACAGGTAACCATCAAGCCTCCACTACTGCATTTTTTAAATTACTTAGAATTGGATCAATTTTATTCTCCAAAGATAATATATGACCTGTGTTACAATTATGACTAGCAATGAAACTAACGACTAATGGTAACTTGTTCATTTGAACCACCTGAAAATTAAATAAATCATGTCATGTAAATTATTCCTAGTTTCGTATTAAGATAGAAAAATAAAATTTTGCAAGAGACTCTAAACTTTATTACCTGATAACTACTATACATGCATATAATAGTTTTATTCTTTCCAAGTCCTAATTTACTCCCTTGATCGGTCGCCATCCCAAAGGTTGACAAAAAGCTTGCTCTCATAGCCATTTCAGGTGCTTGCTTATCGGCTACAGATACAACGGGTACTCCATCTCTATCTGTTATCAATATACTATGAAGTCCTTCTATACTGCTTAAAAGGCCATAAAGAAACTTTTTTAGTTCCTGGAATAATAATGAAGAAAGACATCAGTTGCAGTAACAAATAATAATACAACTGATTTTCTATTTTATTTCATAAGAAGCATAATTTTGCGTATACGAAGACAACTACGATTGTTTTAAAAACTGTTTGAATTATATACACATAACCTTAAAATATATAAACTACGAAACATTTAAGAAGTTGAGTACATATAATTGTAGAACTTACCGCTGTCATCCTTTAGCTTTAGTGGTAGAAAAGATTAATGTAACCACTTAGAAATGTATAAGTATTTCATAGATCTCAAACATCAACAATAACGTGTTACTTTCGAGTTTTCAGACAACAGTTTTGTCAGACTGTCATATGGTTCGTCTAAACTGCGCACGCACCGTGCTTTAAAAACCTTTGAAGTTCGTATGAATCACGAATCAATAATTTTAAAAAATATATTTGATGAAATAAACGAAACTAATGTACAAACTTAAATTTATTTCGACATTTTTTATCTTTTTTTACAGTATTATTTAATTTAATCTATTTTATAAGAAAACAAAGTACATGAAACGTTAAATACTGTGTTGAAAGTTTTTTTTTTTATTTATTATTGTATTGTTAGACAATATTTTTATTAGAAACTTTTCATTAACTTGTTGAAATAGAAAAAGTAGAAATAAATAATAGTACATGAATTGTAGTCGATTCTTCAAGAAAAAATGAATAAAAATTGAATCTTTCTAGTGAAATTAGATTAACACTGCATTTCTAACATTAATGAATAGTTATGACTTAGTTATCAAGACTTCATAATTTATCATTAGGAATAATAAAGATAAACGTTTAATTCTACAATTACGATTCCGTCGTATCTAGATTAGAAGTAACTACTGGATCATTTAAACCTTTTTCATAGACAAACATCTTTGGCGGATCTTGAACAAAATAAAGTTTTGCATTCTGTGCTAATGCTTCGTATTTCTTTAAATCTAAATACTCTGAAGTGAGAAGAAACTTATTTGCTTCAGCCTGCATTTTTATTTTATAATGTTCCGCATCGGTAAGGCTCTTTTCTTTGGCCAGATGTATTGCATTTTCAATTTCAACTACTCGTCGAAGCGATTCTTTTTCCATGATGTTTTGATTATACCGAATTTTGGAAACTTGGGCCTGCTTTTCAGCTTCAATAAGAGCTTTCTTTCTGTCAGTTTCTGCATCTTTTTCTACTACTTTCTGATGTTGGGTAGCTATCAGTAATTTAGTTTTTTCACCCTCCCTAAAAAAATTCACGCATAAGCAGTATTATAATTAATATCTTATTCTTAAGTGCAATTATTAAATTATGTTTTTACACTTACATTAATTCATAATTTTTTCTAATGGTTTCCGGAATTTTAGGCTTTGTAACTCTAACAGCATGAATACTTAAGCCAGGTGCTAAATCATTTAAATCTTTCTGCAGCGCAGTTTTTAAATTTTCATCTATCTGATCGAATAAATCTATATATACTTCGTGTAACGTATGCACAGAACAAAATTGGTTTAATTCATGATGAATCTTGTTAAATATTAATGTTTGATCATAATCAGCCGTAAAATTCCTCACAATATTATAAACTATACGAATAAAAATGTTTATTAATGCATGGAATATTTGATAAATTGGCTTCAGTGATTTGTAGTGTACATTTTATAGAACTCTTACCACTGTTTGCATCTAATATGTTCACAACTTCAATACGGTCAAAATAAATCATCACGCCGCCACTAGTACCGCATGGTACATTTTTTACCTCATCTGTTTGCAGTGTAACTTGAACCGAACGGAATTTGGTTAATAAAGGAATCATCATATGAAATCCTGGATAACTGACTTGAGGCAATAGTGCACCTCCCTATAAAATGATAGTTATTATATGTACATAGGAATTATAAACCATCATTATACGTTTAAAAATATGAAACCTACCCTAAAATATACACCAACATGGCCTTCGTCGATACGATGCAACGAGGTATTAAATACAATTGCTAGGCAGATGACAAAACATAAACCAATAATATTTGGCTTAAACATATTGATTATATCCTGAAATGCATAGAAATAATTTAAATATTATTTTATCCTATTTTAATAGTTTTGACTTTCTACATTTTGCAGCTATTATGTATGTATGTATGAGGTACATATTATTATGTACCTCAATCGGCATTTTTTGATATACAATAAATTAAAATATATGAAATAATTATAATATTCGAGACATTATAGCACTTATTTTTATATTCTACGTCCACGTAATAATTTTAAATTGTAAAAGGTTATGTTACAAAAGAATTATAGAACAATTAAAATACTACCTG